GCGGACTAAACAGCGAGGCAGTCTAAAGAGCGGTCTAAACAGCGAGGCAGTCTAAAGAGCGGTCTACACAGCGAGGCAGTCTAAAGAGCGGTCTAAACAGCGAGGCAGTCTAAAGAGCGGTCTAAACAGCGAGGCAGTCTAAAGAGCGGTCTAAACAGCGAGGCAGTCTAAAGAGCGGTCTAAACAGCGAGGCAGTCTAAAGAGCGGTCTAAACAGCGAGGCAGTCTAAAGAGCGGTCTAAACAGCGAGGCAGTCTAAAGAGCGGTCTAAACAGCGAGGCAGTCTAAAGAGCGGTCTAAACAGCGAGGCAGTCTAAAGAGCGGTCTAAACAGCGAGGCAGTCTAAAGAGCGGACTAAACAGCGAGGCAGTCTAAAGAGCGGTCTAAACAGCGAGGCAGTCTAAAGAGCGGTCTAAACAGCGAGGCAGTCTAAAGAGCGGTCTAAACAGCGAGGCAGTCTAAAGAGCGGTCTAAACAGCGAGGCAGTCTAAAGAGCGGTCTAAACAGCGAGGCAGTCTAAAGAGCGGTCTAAACAGCGAGGCAGTCTAAAGAGCGGTCTAAACAGCGAGGCAGTCTAAAGAGCGGTCTAAACAGCGAGGCAGTCTAAAGAGCGGTCTAAACAGCGAGGCAGTCTAAAGAGCGGTCTAAACAGCGAGGCAGTCTAAAGAGCGGTCTAAACAGCGAGGCAGTCTAAAGAGCGGTCTAAACAGCGAGGCAGTCTAAAGAGCGGTCTAAACAGCGAGGCAGTCTAAAGAGCGGTCTAAACAGCGAGGCAGTCTAAAGAGCGGTCTAAACAGCGAGGCAGTCTAAAGAGCGGTCTAAACAGCGAGGCAGTCTAAAGAGCGGTCTAAACAGCGAGGCAGTCTAAAGAGCGGACTAAACAGCGAGGCAGTCTAAAGAGCGGTCTAAACAGCGAGGCAGTCTAAAGAGCGGTCTAAACAGCGAGGCAGTCTAAAGAGCGGTCTAAACAGCGAGGCAGTCTAAAGAGCGGACTAAACAGCGAGGCAGTCTAAAGAGCGGTCTAAACAGCGAGGCAGTCAAAGAGCGGTCTAAACAGCGAGGCAGTGTAAAGAGCGGACTAAACAGCGAGGCAGTCTAAAGAGCGGTCTAAACAGCGAGGCAGTCTAAAGAGCGGTCTACACAGCGAGGCAGTCTAAAGAGCGGTCTAAACAGCGAGGCAGTCTAAAGAGCGGTCTAAACAGCGAGGCAGTCTAAAGAGCGGTCTAAACAGCGAGGCAGTCTAAAGAGCGGTCTAAACAGCGAGGCAGTCTAAAGAGCGGTCTAAACAGCGAGGCAGTCTAAAGAGCGGTCTAAACAGCGAGGCAGTCTAAAGAGCGGTCTAAACAGCGAGGCAGTCTAAAGAGCGGTCTAAACAGCGAGGCAGTCTAAAGAGCGGTCTAAACAGCGAGGCAGTCTAAAGAGCGGTCTAAACAGCGAGGCAGTCTAAAGAGCGGTCTAAACAGCGAGGCAGTCTAAAGAGCGGTCTAAACAGCGAGGCAGTCTAAAGAGCGGACTAAACAGCGAGGCAGTCTAAAGAGCGGTCTAAACAGCGAGGCAGTCTAAAGAGCGGTCTAAACAGCGAGGCAGTCTAAAGAGCGGTCTAAACAGCGAGGCAGTCTAAAGAGCGGTCTAAACAGCGAGGCAGTCTAAAGAGCGGTCTAAACAGCGAGGCAGTCTAAAGAGCGGTCTAAACAGCGAGGCAGTCTAAAGAGCGGTCTAAACAGCGAGGCAGTCTAAAGAGCGGACTAAACAGCGAGGCAGTCTAAAGAGCGGTCTAAACAGCGAGGCAGTCAAAGAGCGGACTAAACAGCGAGGCAGTCAAAGAGCGGTCTAAACAGCGAGGCAGTCTAAAGAGCGGTCTAAACAGCGAGGCAGTCTAAAGAGCGGACTAAACAGCGAGGCAGTCTAAAGAGCGGTCTAAACAGCGAGGCAGTCTAAAGAGCGGTCTAAACAGCGAGGCAGTCTAAAGAGCGGTCTAAACAGCGAGGCAGTCTAAAGAGCGGTCTAAACAGCGAGGCAGTCTAAAGAGCGGTCTAAACAGCGAGGCAGTCTAAAGAGCGGACTAAACAGCGAGGCAGTCTAAAGAGCGGTCTAAACAGCGAGGCAGTCAAAGAGCGGACTAAACAGCGAGGCAGTCAAAGAGCGGTCTAAACAGCGAGGCAGTCTAAAGAGCGGTCTAAACAGCGAGGCAGTCTAAAGAGCGGACTAAACAGCGAGGCAGTCTAAAGAGCGGTCTAAACAGCGAGGCAGTCTAAAGAGCGGTCTAAACAGCGAGGCAGTCTAAAGAGCGGTCTAAACAGCGAGGCAGTCTAAAGAGCGGTCTAAACAGCGAGGCAGTCTAAAGAGCGGTCTAAACAGCGAGGCAGTCTAAAGAGCGGTCTAAACAGCGAGGCAGTCTAAAGAGCGGACTAAACAGCGAGGCAGTCTAAAGAGCGGTCTAAACAGCGAGGCAGTCTAAAGAGCGGTCTAAACAGCGAGGCAGTCTAAAGAGCGGACTAAACAGCGAGGCAGTCTAAAGAGCGGTCTAAACAGCGAGGCAGTGTAAAGAGCGGACTAAACAGCGAGGCAGTCTAAAGAGCGGTCTAAACAGCGAGGCAGTCTAAAGAGCGGTCTACACAGCGAGGCAGTCTAAAGAGCGGTCTAAACAGCGAGGCAGTCTAAAGAGCGGTCTAAACAGCGAGGCAGTCTAAAGAGCGGTCTAAACAGCGAGGCAGTCTAAAGAGCGGTCTAAACAGCGAGGCAGTCTAAAGAGCGGTCTAAACAGCGAGGCAGTCTAAAGAGCGGTCTAAACAGCGAGGCAGTCTAAAGAGCGGTCTAAACAGCGAGGCAGTCTAAAGAGCGGTCTAAACAGCGAGGCAGTCTAAAGAGCGGTCTAAACAGCGAGGCAGTCAAAGAGCGGACTAAACAGCGAGGCAGTCAAAGAGCGGACTAAACAGCGAGGCAGTCAAAGAGCGGACTAAACAGCGAGGCAGTCAAAGAGCGGACTAAACAGCGAGGCAGTCAAAGAGCGGACTAAACAGCGAGGCAGTCAAAGAGCGGACTAAACAGCGAGGCAGTCAAAGAGCGGACTAAACAGCGAGGCAGTCAAAGAGCGGACTAAACAGCGAGGCAGTCAAAGAGCGGACTAAACAGCGAGGCAGTCAAAGAGCGGACTAAACAGCGAGGCAGTCAAAGAGCGGACTAAACAGCGAGGCAGTCAAAGAGCGGACTAAACAGCGAGGCAGTCAAAGAGCGGACTAAACAGCGAGGCAGTCAAAGAGCGGACTAAACAGCGAGGCAGTCAAAGAGCGGACTAAACAGCGAGGCAGTCAAAGAGCGGGACTAAACAGCGAGGCAGTCAAAGAGCGGACTAAACAGCGAGGCAGTCAAAGAGCGGACTAAACAGCGAGGCAGTCAAAGAGCGGACTAAACAGCGAGGCAGTCAAAGAGCGGACTAAACAGCGAGGCAGTCAAAGAGCGGACTAAACAGCGAGGCAGTCAAAGAGCGGACTAAACAGCGAGGCAGTCAAAGAGCGGACTAAACAGCGAGGCAGTCAAAGAGCGGACTAAACAGCGAGGCAGTCAAAGAGCGGACTAAACAGCGAGGCAGTCAAAGAGCGGACTAAACAGCGAGGCAGTCAAAGAGCGGACTAAACAGCGAGGCAGTCAAAGAGCGGACTAAACAGCGAGGCAGTCAAAGAGCGGACTAAACAGCGAGGCAGTCAAAGAGCGGACTAAACAGCGAGGCAGTCAAAGAGCGGACTAAACAGCGAGGCAGTCAAAGAGCGGACTAAACAGCGAGGCAGTCAAAGAGCGGACTAAACAGCGAGGCAGTCAAAGAGCGGACTAAACAGCGAGGCAGTCAAAGAGCGGACTAAACAGCGAGGCAGTCAAAGAGCGGACTAAACAGCGAGGCAGTCAAAGAGCGGACTAAACAGCGAGGCAGTCAAAGAGCGGACTAAACAGCGAGGCAGTCAAAGAGCGGACTAAACAGCGAGGCAGTCAAAGAGCGGACTAAACAGCGAGGCAGTCAAAGAGCGGACTAAACAGCGAGGCAGTCAAAGAGCGGACTAAACAGCGAGGCAGTCAAAGAGCGGACTAAACAGCGAGGCAGTCAAAGAGCGGACTAAACAGCGAGGCAGTCAAAGAGCGGACTAAACAGCGAGGCAGTCAAAGAGCGGACTAAACAGCGAGGCAGTCAAAGAGCGGACTAAACAGCGAGGCAGTCAAAGAGCGGACTAAACAGCGAGGCAGTAGCGTACTACCAAAGAGCGGACTAAACAGCGAGGCAGTCAAAGAGCGGACTAAACAGCGAGGCAGTCAAAGAGCGGACTAAACAGCGAGGCAGTCAAAGAGCGGACTAAACAGCGAGGCAGTCAAAGAGCGGACTAAACAGCGAGGCAGTCAAAGAGCGGACTAAACAGCGAGGCAGTCAAAGAGCGGACTAAACAGCGAGGCAGTCAAAGAGCGGACTAAAACAGCGAGGCAGTCAAAGAGCGGACTAAACAGCGAGGCAGTCAAAGAGCGGACTAAACAGCGAGGCAGTCAAAGAGCGGACTAAACAGCGAGGCAGTCAAAGAGCGGACTAAACAGCGAGGCAGTCAAAGAGCGGACTAAACAGCGAGGCAGTCAAAGAGCGGACTAAACAGCGAGGCAGTCAAAGAGCGGACTAAACAGCGAGGCAGTCAAAGAGCGGACTAAACAGCGAGGCAGTCAAAGAGCGGACTAAACAGCGAGGCAGTCAAAGAGCGGACTAAACAGCGAGGCAGTCAAAGAGCGGACTCACGTCCAGATTGTGCAGACCTTCCCCACCGCAAGACAAGACGCGACACGACTTCTGAGGTGCGGGAAAAGCATGTGATTCTAGATAGCAAGGCAATCTCGAGGGTGGTCTCACGTCCAGATGGTGTGCATGCACACAGACGCCTCGCCCACTGCAAGACGAGAGAAGGCAACTCTTGAGGTGCCTCTAAAGAGATTTGAAAAAGCGAGGCGTAGGGGTCCTTACTCCAAAGAGTGGACTCACGTCCAGATGGTGTGCGTGCGCACAGACGCCTCCCCCACTGATGCCTGCACGTAGGGGTCGCTGGTGCCCTGGCAGAGGGATGACAGGGAGAATTCGACACAAGGAGGATGAATGCAGAGGGGTTTGATTTGAAGTGGTGAAAGAAACTGGTGGCAGCACGTAGGGGTCGCTGGTGCCCTGGCAGGGGGAGAGTGCAGAGTACGAAGCAACAAGAATGAGAGCAGAGGGCTGTATGTCGCTGCTAATATAAACTTGCTGTATGGTCAACGGGAAATCTGACCATATGACAGGCACATGCACGAGGCAATGGCAGGTGTAGGCAGGAAGGCAACAGCAGATACAAACATGAGCCAAACAGGCGCACCCATGACTTTTGAGACGTCTCAAAAGTCCAAACAGGCGCACCCATGACTTTTGAGACGTCTCAAAAGTCCAAACAGGCGCACCCATGACTTTTGAGACGTCTCAAAAGTCCAAACAGGCGCACCCATGACTTTTGAGACGTCTCAAAAGTCCAAACAGGCGCACCCATGACTTTTGAGACGTCTCAAAAGTCCAAACAGGCGCACCCATGACTTTTGAGACGTCTCAAAAGTCCAAACAGGCGCACCCATGCCCCTTCAGGCCCCTTCATTGATGCAAATTACAATGCACCATGGCGTTCCACACCTTAAAACATTTTGTGCAGAGCAAATAACGGTAAGGCCTCAGGCTTTCACTCACCCAGAGATCGACGGCTGGCACGTCAGATGCGGATTGGACCGTCACAATGAGCTGGCCGGAGTAGAGCTCGTAAGCAAAACCGTAGGATGTGAAGATGGTGCGACAGCCCCCCACGTCCTCCTCCCACAGGGTCTCCTTGTCCTCCTGTGAGTTTATGAGAATTTGCGGGGTGTTTTTTAGAATTTGCAAGAAGTTCTGTAATTTTGCTGTCGCATCGTGACTACTCTGAAGTAAACCCTTTTTCAAATTCTCAAACACAACAGCACTGCTGTGCTCGCTGCTCACTTCTTTGCTGCACATACCTGCGGGGTGTTGTACGACTCAAACGCGAATCCCGCCAGCAGCACCGCCAGGTTGAGGTCGAACGGAGGGCGATCAGCCGCTGCCAGGCACTCTGCACCCCCATCCTCCCCTTGCTCGTTTGTCGCTACCGCTGCCACCCTCACCCCCGTCTTGACATGGTGTTTTCCAATTCGACGGGCTTGATTTCCAAGAATGGAGGTACGTGAGGGAGATGTGCGGGAGAGGGCGGTTCTCGCAGCAGCGAGCGGCGAACACCTTGCCACAGTTTGGTTGGTGACGCGATACCTGAGGGATGTACAGCAATGTGAGAGGAGTGGAGGAGTGAGAAGGGTAGACACGAACGAGAGAGGCCGACGCGCACGAATGCGAGAGGCGCATGACGGAGGAGTTGGAATTCGCGGAGAGAAGAACGAGAGGAGAATTTACCGGAACTTCAGCGCCATCTGAGCGAGCCGGATGCGACGAGAATCTTTCAATTCGACGCATGGAACAAAAATTCGTGAACGGTGTGCGACGAGGACGTTCAGTGCGACGGCTTTGTGCATAGAGATGCGACGAGGGCATGCGACGTGCGACGGGAGGGAAGGGATGTGACGAGAGGGATGCGATGAGAGGGATGCGACACCTGAAGCGCAGAACTCGGGAAGAATCGCGACCGCATACTGCGTCTTGTGACGTCGCAATACTCTTGAGAGAATTCGGGAGCAGCTCGGTTGAAAGAGTCCGCAATGTGGCAGCCATGATCCCACTCGCAATACTCCTACTTCCAATGGTCCCGCTTGCAGTTATCCTAATTGCGGTCTTCGCACCAGTTTATTTAAAACCGAGCAACGGCCTTCACAAATCTGCTACTAGCGAATGTGTCGAATGCGTCGCCACGCCACTCCACTTCAGGTTCCCTGAACGTAGAATGAGTGGATAAGGTGGTGTGGTGGGGGTTGTTTGTCGGCGAACCTTTGACAAGCCTGGATTCTGATGGCATGGGGGTGGGGGCAGCCTAGAGAATTTCGGAAGGTTCAGGCATTCACCTCAAGCTTCGACACAAAAACCTTGTGCTTAGGTCGTATTTCTCATACAAGCATTGACAGACGTTGGATGCGGAAACTGAAATAGAAGTGCTACACACACCTCGTGTCAAGCACTCTGAAGAATCTGATGTGGCTGTTACGGGCAAACTAGAACTCTCAGGACGAAATCATATCGACATCATACCGAGACTCGAAATGCAAGCTGGTTGACTAACTTTCTGGATACGGAGGGGGTTGACCCACACATGTTAGAATGATCGAGACCAATCAGAAGGCAGCACGACGTCCCACCAATCCAGACACTCGAATATGTTTCGACTATAAGGTTACGAGTAAGAAGAAACAGTTGCTCTTGAAGGAGCTGCTACTAGCGAAGAAATTCATCCACAAACCCACCTCATCCGTTCATACCTGTCCCCACACGAGCCAATTTTCTGGAAGCGCGTTATTAGTTAGTCGTGCGTGCATCAGGAGCCACGTCTGTTAGGAGCCATTACGAGGAGCCATGGCATCTGAAGATCCTATAGTGCAAATAGAGGACGAGCCGCTTCATAAGATAGTATTCTCCAACGATCGCGTCCGCGTTTTCTCGGCCACGATTCCAGCGGGAGCCGAAACTCTCTTCCACCGCCACGCGTGCAACACTTACTTCATCGCCGTCAGCGGGGGGGGCTATCGCAAGCAGATCTACGCCCAGGAATGGCTCGACACCGCCCTACCCAGTCGCGTGGGATTCTGCGCGAACTACACCACGCATCCAGAAATCCACAGGGTAATTTCCCTTCAAAATAATCCCGAGCCAATGTACATAGTCGCCGTTGAGGTGTTTCCCTCTCAACCAGGCTCAGAAGCACCCGCAGCAGTTACGGACTCAGCCGGCGTTAGCGAGCCTCAAGGAGACATTTTGCAAAAGTCAAGTCCTCTCAAGGGTGCAGAGCTCAAGGGAAGTGGCTGGGAGAGAGACAAGAGCGGCGAGTGGCCTGACATTGCCATCCACCATCTCACTCTGCAACCGGGCCAGAGCACGGGAAAGCATGCGATTCCCTTCCATGGTGTGTGGATATCACTCACGGATGGGGACATTTCAGGGTCTGGAGATGGTGGTTCCTTCTGGACTGAGCTGGGGAAAGCAGGAGCCAGTGTGTACTGGCAGCGAAGGGATGATGTGGAATTGAGTAACGAGGGACCAAGCAACTACGAGGCTGTTCTTCTAGAGCTGCTTTGAAATCACGGAGTATTCCAGAGAGGTAACAAGCTTTGAAGCAAACCAGCTTTGTCCCCACACTCGAGAGCAAAATTTGCTGCTCAACCAAATTTGCCTACTCAGAATAGCAACCCTATTCCCCCCCCCCCCCCCCCCCCCCCCCCTCCTAAAACCTACATGCTGTCTTAGTACCCCTACCCATGCTACAACCAAATTCCTTCGCAAATCTAGCCTAGTAGACGAAGGGCACAATGCGCCAAGGCACAATCCTACAATACTCCTTCCAGACCTCCGTATACTTGGCTCTACACCTAGCCTCATCCCGACGCTCTCTCCAGAGCAGAAGGATGAGCAGATAGATAGGGTAGAAGTAGGGGCAGAGGGAGTAGAAAGCACAGGGCAGGCTGTAAGAAAGTGCCAGCATCAAATCGCCCAAGTAGTTGCAGTGGCGAGCTATGCCCCAGTACCCCGAGACCAGCAGTCTGCTGCCAACAACACGAGGTGTTTTACCCCAGATTTTAGCCGTTGGGTCGTGCTTGAATATGTGCTTCTGGCGGTTGGCACCACGGAACACGGCATAGCCAACAACGAAAACGGCGACTGTGGTAATAGCGAAGGGAAGAGAGACGGTGGCGGCGATACTGTTGCGAGCAGTGCCGTGAGCCAGCAGCCACCATGCCTGGACGGAGAAGGTGAAAGGGATCCAGATCAAATCCCCGAAAACCAGCATAAAGCCGAAATTCTCGGCAATAATGTCCCATGTCGACGTCATGTACTCTTCGAACCAGAAATAGTCCAGGACATAAATAGCGGTGAAGATCTGATACAGGAACATAGGAAGCGTGATCAGAGGGAGAGTGGTGATGCTGCTGCTGGCGATGCTGGCCGGAAGGATGGTGGTGAGATTCAACGAGGCGAGAGTGATCGCGTGTGAGGTGTCGGGGAGTTTCAGCAGAAGCTCATGCTGCTTCGCTGCGATGGAGAGGTTTATCAGCAGCCATCCCATCATGGCGGGTCGAAGACAGAAGAACTTGAGATCGAGCCCGAAAACGGACGGGTTTAGCTGTACTCCGTAGATGAAATCACTGATAAAGTTGCCGTGGAATTTCGGTTTCAGGGAGGAAGATTTGGCATTGGTTGAGAAGACTCCCGCGAGGTAGAGCGCGAGGGAAAGGAATACTGTGAAGGCGAAAGTCGTCGCGAAAAGTTCGCCAGCTAGATCGGCGACGATGGTCGCGGACAGATGTCCGGATAGGACGCCGTAGCCGAGGAGAGCGAGGAGGAGCAGGAGAACGCGGAAGCCGTTGCATTTGTAATGGAGGCGAGTCCCGTCGGAGAGAACTGTTCCAGGAAACACTTTTCCGGGAAGAATAGCGCCTGCTACTATGAGAAAGGCGACATAGGCTGAGAGGATCGCAACGGCGCGCAGTGACGGGAGGCCGGCGACAGGACAGCTGGTGTTCAGCCACCACTCTGCTAGAGAAGCCATGGCTATCAGCTTCAGACGAGATCCTACGTTCTTGAAGATTATTTGGTTATCAAGAACCCACTACAACGGGGGCGTCTTGAAGAGAATGAGTACATAAGGGCGTATTCTTATAAAATTTATGTTACAGTTGTTGTGCGTGGGGATAGCACCAGCCTGTCAGAACACGAATTTTACTACGGGAGTTTTGTTTCTATGATGACATCATACATAATGTTCTAGTACAATCACTAGCCGGAAGCTTGAAAAGGACCCATCCAGAAAATACGCCCTAGAAGCACAACGCCTCGTTATCGCTGCCTACGGTTTTGGTTCCGGCCTCGGGATCACAACCAACACACTTCTTTCATCTTGCCAACAATCTGAAGCTGATCCCAACCAGAGTGGCTTTCCATCTGTGTTCCAGCCATGATCACCTCGCTCGCGTTGGTTTGACAAATCCGCGAACTTCCACCGGTGTCGGCGAATTTGGATTTTGATATCGTTTGGCTTTCAGCAAGGCGGAACCGGCAGTATAGCATGGAAACGGACCCCTGGAGTGGACCTGCTTCTATACCATACACTCAGCTTCAGCAGCTACAGCAACAGCAGCAGCAGCAGCAGCAGCAGCAGCAGCAACAACAGCAGCAGCAAGGGCAGCAGCCATATTGGTACCCGTACACGCCATCCTCGATAATAGGTCCTCCTCCTCCTCCCGCCTCTCAAATTCAGGGCACGATGCGATCCTTCGCGCAGCTTTCCACATCAGACCGCTTCGGCCGGCCGTCCGCTGGCACCGATGTAGGATCCAAGCGGAAACGCGCGGGAAAGCTGGACGCGATGATTCAGGGAAACCCTAAGATTCTCCTGGCGGCCAGTCCCGTGTTTCACGACCGGTACACGGATAAGAGCCTGCCGTTCGAGCTCGTTCCGGTACTGACACGTGGCGGCGAAGTCTCCGTGCAGATTCGCGTGCGCGTCGATGTAAGAAGGCGTAAGATGCATCGAGGATAAGCAACGTTGTTGTTGCGTAACAATCTGAAGCGTTTGGAATTGTTTCATAGCCAGCCGAAGATGACCTCATCAAGAGTTTTGTTAATTTTCATTGATTCTTTTCAACTTTAGCCACATGTTCGGTTCCAGTCGCCGTCATTCAGTGCATAATCAATCTGGTGTCAAACCGTGATTCTTCTTTTCCGTAGCCCCTCTTTTAGTGAGCCTTCCTTTCGGTAACCCCCCCTGCCCCTGGACTCTGCTTTATGTAGACCCTTTTTCCCGTGAACCCTCATTTTCATTATCCATAACCCCCCTTCTCGCAAACCCCTATTCCCCAAACCCCCTTCCTCCACCCCTCAGGACCGCACTAGCTTCACAGCGAAGGGATCGTCTAGGACGAGGAAGGAGGCAGAGCGGCAGTGTGCCATCGACGCGTGCTTCCATCTCAAGGTGCCTCATACTTCTCTGCTATTTATAATTCGCAGTGGTAGTATGACTTCTTTCTCATCATTAATACATACCTATGTAACGACCCCATCGCATCAAAACATACAGCTCAGCGCATGCTGCCAGTGCCACTTCCAAAGTTGTCTGCTCTGCAGCCCACAAGCATTGTTTCATTCATATGCTCATGTGTGCGCCCACAAGGTCTCATCATCTCATGTGCGGAGATGGCTGTCTGCACAATGTGCATGTATGCACGTATGCATGTCATGTCATCAACTCAGTTATGCTCTTTAATGCTGGCTTTTGCCCCTCCCCTCCTCTCCCAGGACCTAGATCTGCTACGACTGCCTGAAGAAGTGGCGCCTCCTCTTGCTGTCATCTCAGGCAGTGGATCCGGATCAAGTGGAAGGGGAGGAAGGGGAGGCGGAGGCGGGGGAGGAGGGGGTGGAGGGGGAGGGAGCGGTGGCGGGCTGTTGTCTGTGTGGGCGGAGAACCCGAAGAACTTTCTGCAGCACTGTCCGGTGTTCAAGGATTGGATCGTCCACAAGGGAGGCAAGCTCAACATTCGAGTCTCTTCTGCGGGGCCTGATCACGGCAAGGTACGCTGGTGACTGTCCACATTCGGTGGCAGCACATCATAGCACTGATCATTCGGTGGCAGCACATCACACCACTGATCATTCGGTGGCAGCACATCACACCACTGATCATTCGGTGGGTGTTCCGGTCGGTGTCCCCCCCCCACTCCTTCAATCTTCCCTCAAGCCTCTTCTATCTCCCCCTCCCTTACACCTCCCACTTCCCCCATCCCCCCGCCCCTCCCCCTTCCCCAGGTGTTCTACGCAGAGCTCGATGTGCTGTTGGGGAGGAACTGCAGTGTAGCGTACGTCCTCCTGTATGCACATCCCCTCTTCCCCCCATCCCCCCTCCCCTCCCCCTTCCCCAGGTGTTCTACGCAGAGCTCGATGTGCCGTTGGGGAGGGGGGGCGGCGCGCAGGTGTGGGTGGCGCGGGGGAGGGGGCGCAACAAGGCGGACGCGGAGAGGAACTGCTGTGTAGCGGCGTGTGAGCGCCTGCACGAGCTGGGGCTGCTCAAAGCGCCTTCCTCCTCCAACCTTGCTGCCCTGGGACAGAGTGGTGGCAGTGCTGGCACGCTGGCGAAGGATCAGGTACAGGTGGGTGCAGTGCGGTGGGTGATAAGTTGTTTAGTGGACCACAAAGTTACTGGTGCGTGGCGGCATGTGAGCGCCTGCACGAGGGGGAGGAGGAACAAGGCAGACGCGGAGAGGAACTGCTGTGTGGCTGCCTGTGAGCGCCTGCACGAGCTGGGGCTGCTCAAAGCACCTTCATCCTCTTCGCTCACCAGCCTGGGAGGGCAGAGCGGTGGGGGTTAGGCATGCTGGCAGCAAAGGATCAGGGACAGGTGCGTGCAGTGTGATGTGTGCATGTGTTGTGTGTGTTTGCCTGTGAGTGCCTGCACGAGCTGGGGCTGCTCAAAGCGCCTTCCTCCTCCAACCTTGCTGCCCTGGGACAGAGTGGTGGCAGTGCTGGCACGCTGGCGAAGGATCAGGTACAGGTGGGTGCAGTGCGGTGGGTGATAAGTTGTTTAGTGGACCACAAAGTTACTGGTGCGTGGCGGCATGTGAGCGCCTGCACGAGGGGGAGGAGGAACAAGGCAGACGCGGAGAGGAACTGCTGTGTGGCTGCCTGTGAGCGCCTGCACGAGCTGGGGCTGCTCAAAGCACCTTCATCCTCTTCGCTCACCAGCCTGGGAGGGCAGAGCGGTGGGGGTTAGGCATGCTGGCAGCAAAGGATCAGGGACAGGTGCGTGCAGTGTGATGTGTGCATGTGTTGTGTTTGTGGCTGCCTGTGAGTGCCTGCACGAGCTGGGGCTGCTTAAAGCGCCCTCATCCTCTTCGATCACTAGCCTGGGAGGGCAAAGTGGCGGTGGCGGTGGTGTAGGCACGCTGGGGGGGAAGGATCAGGGACAGGTGCGTGTGATCAAGCATTATTGCTTGATGATACTTAAAAAAAAAAATTGGTCGATTTTGAGGTTATTGATGTGTGGCGGCGTGTGAGCGCCTGCACGAGCTGGAGCTGCTCAAAGCCTCCTGCTCAAAGCCTCCTGCTCAAAGCCTCCTGCTCAAAGCCTCCTGCTCAAAGCCTCCTGCTCAAAGCCTCCTGCTCAAAGCCTCCTGCTCAAAGCCTCCTGCTCAAAGCCTCCTGCTCAAAGCCTCCTGCTCAAAGCCTCCTTCTCAAAGCCTCCTGCTCAAAGCCTCCTTCTCAAAGCCTCCTGCTCAAAGCCTCCTTCTCAAAGCCTCCTTCTCAAAGCCTCCTGCTCAAAGCCTCCTTCTCAAAGCCTCCTGCTCAAAGCCTCCTTCTCAAAGCCTCCTTCTCAAAGCCTCCTGCTCAAAGCCTCCTTCTCAAAGCCTCCTTCTCAAAGCCTCCTTCTCAAAGCCTCCTGCTCAAAGCCTCCTTCTCAAAGCCTCCTTCTCAAAGCCTCCTTCTCAAAGCCCCCCATTCCCTTATCCTCCCCCCCGTCTCGCCCCCACCCATCCAGACCCCTCGCCTCTCCCTTAATCCATCGGACACCACCCTTCTACAGGACGTGCTCTCCAATCTGCTGTCAAGGCGCATTATAAGTATTCCCCCATTGTCCCATTCCCCTATTCTCCCCCCGTTCTCTCCCACCCATGCAGACCCCTCGCCTCTCCCTCGATCCATCCGACATCACCCTTCTAGAAGACGTGCTCTCCGAATTCCACTCCAGCCTGCCCAAGCCACCGTCTCTCCCTCCTCCCTCCCACTCGCCTCCTCTTCCCTCCCATCCTCCCGAATCCACCACCCAAGGTAATGGCTTGCTCCCCCGCCCTCACTCCACAGGCACTCTCCCTTCCTCCTCCTCCTCCTCCTCGCTCCCGTACCCCTCTGGTTCTGCTGCCTCTAACGCAGCAGCAGGAGCAGGGGGAGTTGCAGCAGCGGCGGTGGCGGCGGCAGCAGCAGCAATGGATGTATCTGGGCCGTACCCGAAGGATCCTTACCTGGATGAACGGTTCAGATTGGCTGCTGAGAGGAGGAGCGCGGCAAGGGAGATGGGGGACAGGTGGAGGGCGCGGGAGAGGCTGCCAGCGTGGAAGGAGAGGGATGCGGTGGTGCGAATGGTGCATGCAAACCCAGTGTCGCTCATTGTTGGGGAGACTGGCTGTGGCAAGACCACCCAGGTAGGGGACTAGGATTCAAGCAAGGCAGAGGGCGGGGAGAGGCTACCAGCGTGGAAGGAGAGGGATGAAGTGGTGCGCATGGTGCATGCAAACCCAGTGTCGCTCATTGTTGGGGAGACTGGCTGTGGCAAGACCACCCAGGTAGGGGACTAGGATTCAAGCAAGGCAGAGGGCGGGGAGAGGCTACCAGCGTGGAAGGAGAGGGATGAAGTGGTGCGCATGGTGCATTCAAACCCAGTGTCGCTCATTGTAGGGGAGACTGGCTGCGGGAAGACCACACAGGTAGGGGGATACACATTCAACAGGCCTTTCAGGGGCCTCAAACATGCTCTGTCAGGCGGAGTGGATGGAGAGGGATGCAGTGGTGCGCATGGTGCAGGCAAACCCAACCCTCTGCTGTTTGATGGTCGAGTCAAGGTTCGGCCCGACCCTGTGCTCATGCCTCGGGGCCTTCCCCAGACTGGCCCGGCACGAGTCAGTTAGAGGTTGTTTTTGAGACGTCTCAAAAACAACCTCGCTACACGTGGCACGAGTCAGTTAGAGGCATGCAAGCATGTCCTTGTTACAGACAGGTCGATTTTTGAGGCGCCTCAAAAATTGTTACAGACAGGTCGATTTTTGAGGCGCCTCAAAAATTGTTACAGACAGGTCGATTTTTGAGGCGCCTCAAAAATTGTTACAGACAGGTCGATTTTTGAGGCGCCTCAAAAATTGTTACAGACAGGTCGATTTTTGAGGCGCCTCAAAAATTGTTACAGACAGGTCGGCCCTGCCCGTGTTTTGAGCAAACCTGCCTGATGCTCATGTCTTTGCCATGCCATGGTTCCATTGCACACCAACACCATGCACTACATGTGATGTTTCTGAGAGCTCTCAAGAGTCGCCATGCCATGGTTGCACACCAAGCCATTCAATTCAAGTCATCTGGTGTTTCGTCCTCCGTAATGAGTCGTGTTTTGAGTCGACTCAAAACACGACCCAAGCCATTCAATTCAAGTCATCTGGTGTTTCGTCCTCCTCCTTGGATGCTGGCAGGTCCCTCAGTTTATTCTTGAAGATTCGGAGCGAAACGGCACTGCTAGCAGCACGCACATTATAGTCACTCAGCCTCGCAGAATTGCAGCGTTGAGTGTGGCAGAGCGTGTGGCGTGGGAGAGGGGCGAGGCGTTGGGTGACAGTGTGGGGTACCGCATTCGGCTGGACAGCAAGCCACCCAGGGCCAGAGGCAGCATTCTCTTCTGCACTGTCGGCATCCTGCTGAGGCGAATGCAGGTGTGTGTGCATGTGGGTGTTTGATGTGCTGTGCTGCTTTTTGACGTGCTTCCATCCAGCGATGAGGGCATGGCTTCTGTGCTGGTTGATATGTAACTGGGCTGATTAGCCAGGGCCAGAGGCTGTGTCCTCTTTTGCATTGTTGGCATCCTGCTCAGCTGATTGCAGGTGTGTTTGTGTGTGTGGCATATGCCCGTTTTGATAGAATGATGCTCGGCGGTAAGTGTATAGTCTGTGCTTGTCAGATGTAATGTGAGTAATAGTGGCTGGAGGCAGCATCCTCTTCTGTACTGTTGGCATCCTGCTGAGGCGAATGCAGGTGTGTGTGGGGCGTGGCATGAGCTGCTCTGGCTGAATTCGCTGTGTTGCACACGTGTGGCCTGTGCTGGTTGCTGTTACCCCTGTATAGGGTGCATGAGTTGTGTTATCACTTTCGCACCACAAGTGCGATATGCACACTATCCTGTTTTGCCCACACTTCACTTGTTTCCCTATCTTGCCTCGTCCGCCGTTTCGTTCCCACGCACCCCAACATCTCTCTCCCATCTCTCCCATTATTCCCACCACTCCCACCACTCACATAACTCCGATTCTTTCACAGAGCCCAGAGGGCATGGAGGGGGTGAGCCATGTGATAGTGGACGAGGTGCATGAGCGAGACATGGACACCGACTTCCTCCTCATCGTGCTCAAACAGATGCTCTCCTCCCCCACCGTGCCCTCTCGCATCCGCGTGGTCATCATGAGTGCCACCATCGACGCCGATCTCTTCACCTCGTGAGTTATGGTACAGCAGTTCTTTTGTGTGTTACTAGTGGTGCTTGCCTTCCTCTTCGTACACTCCTGCATCCGTGTGGTCATCATGAGTGCCACCATCGATGTCGATCTCTTCACCTCGTGAGTTACCATTGCCTCTTCCATTTGCGAGTTACTACCTGCCCTTGGAAGCGTGCAGAGAGAGAGGGGCAAGCAAATACAGATATTTGCATCCTCCGCCGTGCACTCTCGTATTCGTGTGGTTACCGCCGTGCACTCTCGTATTCGTGTGGTTACCGCCCTGCAGTATTCGTGTGGTCATCATGAGTGCCACCATCGATGTCGATCTCTTCACCTCGTGAGTTATCATTGCCTGTTTTCTTTGTCAGTCACCCCTGCCGTTGCTAGGTTAGCGAGAGCGAGCTTTTAAAAACGAGGACATAGCCCTAATTTTGGTAGTCGCAGGAGGGTACTGCATGACCCGTTTGGCGGCCTATCATTGGCCAATCCTATGTCGCCAGGTATCAGCAAAGCAGGCCAACACAAGTCAGGGCGATTGCACATTAGGCATTCATGAGTTGGTGGCAGGCCAACATTGGCCAACATACTGATGGGATATGACACGCCAGGGCGAGTGCACATCATGAATGGAGGAGGGCAGTCTGGTGAAGATTTTTGAGGCGCCTCAAAACTGAAACGATTTTTTAGGCACCTCAAAAAAGGCAGTCTGGTGAAGGGTGAGGTGGTGGCTGAAACGAAGGGATGTGAAGATGGGCTGAACCAAGGACATTTTGAAGCCAAGTACATGCCTCCCCACCGCACACCACCGCATTGATATTTCCGATGGACTGTGGTAACTTTGTAGGTGCAAGTAATCATCAGCCAGGGCATATGTACAGACGAGGGTGGGGGCAAGGAGGAGGCCCTCTATAAAGTGACTGAATGGAGGAATGGATTATGGAGCAATCAATGCAAGCGGGTCAAACTCGGAAATCATGTGTGTTGTCTCAAGGAGGTTTCACTCCTTACGTTGCTCATGTTCAATCTATGCCCGCGTCTCATGCTTTTTCAACATCAATCTGTAACATCCCCTGTTTTTTCTTTCCTCGTTTCCTCTTCCTTGAAATCTGATTCCGATCTGACTGCTTCTCTCCTCCTCGAACATACCACAATCCTGCTTATTCCAGTCAGCTTACGGAGTTTCTCCTACCCCCCCCCCCCTCTCCCTCCCCCCCTTCCTCCCCCCACTGCGTGATACCAGCTCACTCACTCGTCTTTTCTCGATCTCACTTGCCAGCAGCAGCAGCCTCCTTCCTCTCACCTGCTCCAAGCGGGCCTGTCAAATAGAGGCTCAGCAGCAGTGGCAGAGGCATTGGCAGCAGCCATGGCAGCAGGGGTGGTAGCAGGTGGTGCCGCAGCTGCTTTGCCTGCTTCCTTCTTTAATTAGATATTGCTGCTGCCACCTGCTGCCACCTGCTGCCAGCTGTTGCCACTGCTGCTGCCACCTGCTGCCACCTGCGGCCGCCATTCCACTTGCTGCTGCTGCTGAGCCTCATGAGCCAAAGGGTTGGATGAGAGGAAGGAGGTGGCTGCTGCAGTGTCCGACCCTTGAAATCGAGACGAGTGAGCGGGCTGGTGGTACAGCATCATGTGTGTGTTGTGCAGCGCCTCAAAACCTGGGCGCATGGCTGTATGGTGCACTGTTCCCGTCGCACTTGTTGTTGCCATCGCCGTTGCCTCTGTGGATTTGCATGAACCTTTTTGTTCCAAGTTTTGAGTCGAGTCAAAAGTTACGTGTGGTGTGGTGGTTTTCTTTGTGGAGTTGAATGCATCATTTTCGTCCCCCCCTTCCACTCTCTAATCCCTCCTTCCACTCTCGTCTCGTCCCTCAGTTTTCCTTGAAGTAACACTCTTCGTCTCCTGTTTTTCGTTTCGTGTCGGTTCCCCTGTCCTCTCTCCGCTAGTCATCTACTTGCTCCCTCCTCCATGCCACCCTAAAACTTCACTGACTCTGATGTACCCCCATGCCCTGCCTGCCACTCTCTCTCCCTCTGCCCCCTCTTGCTTGTTATGCACCCCCTTTCTTCTCCCGGCGCGTCCCCTTTGCCATCCACCCAGCTACTTCCACCCAGCTACTTCCACCCAGCTACTTCCACCCAGCTACTTCCACCCAGCTACTTCCACCCAGCTACTTCCACCCAGCTACTTCCACCCAGCTACTTCCACCCAGCTACTTCCACCCAGCTACTTCCACCCAGCTACTTCCACCCAGCTACTTCCACCCAGCTACTTCCACCCAGCTACTTCCACCCAGCTACTTCCACCCAGCTACTTCCACCCAGCTACTTCCACCCAGCTACTTCCACCCAGCTACTTCCACCCAGCTACTTCCACCCAGCTACTTCCACCCAGCTACTTCCACCCAGCTACTTCCACCCAGCTACTTCCACCCAGCTACTTCCACCCAGCTACTTCCACCCAGCTACTTCCACCCAGCTACTTCCACCCAGCTACTTCCACCCAGCTACTTCCACCCAGCTACTTCCACCCAGCTACTTCCACCCAGCTACTTCCACCCAGCTACTTCCACCCAGCTACTTCCACCCAGCTACTTCCACCCAGCTACTTCCACCCAGCTACTTCCACCCAGCTACTTCCACCCAGCTACTTCCACCCAGCTACTTCCACCCAGCTACTTCCACCCAGCTACTTCCACCCAGCTACTTCCACCCAGCTACTTCCACCCAGCTACTTCCACCCAGCTACTTCCACCCAGCTACTTCCACCCAGCTACTTCCACCCAGCTACTTCCACCCAGCTACTTCCACCCAGCTACTTCCACCCAGCTACTTCCACCCAGCTACTTCCACCCAGCTACTTCCACCCAGCTACTTCCACCCAGCTACTTCCACCCAGCTACTTCCACCCAGCTACTTCCACCCAGCTACTTCCACCCAGCTACTTCCACCCAGCTACTTCCACCCAGCTACTTCCACCCAGCTACTTCCACCCAGCTACTTCCACCCAGCTACTTCCACCCAGCTACTTCCACCCAGCTACTTCCACCCAGCTACTTCCACCCAGCTACTTCCACCCAGCTACTTCCACCCAGCTACTTCCACCCAGCTACTTCCACCCAGCTACTTCCACCCAGCTACTTCCACCCAGCTACTTCCACCCAGCTACTTCCACCCAGCTACTTCCACCCAGCTACTTCCACCCAGCTACTTCCACCCAGCTACTTCCACCCAGCTACTTCCACCCAGCTACTTCCACCCAGCTACTTCCACCCAGCTACTTCCACCCAGCTACTTCCACCCAGCTACTTCCACCCAGCTACTTCCACCCAGCTACTTCCACCCAGCTACTTCCACCCAGCTACTTCCACCCAGCTACTTCCACCCAGCTACTTCCACCCAGCTACTTCCACCCAGCTACTTCCACCCAGCTACTTCCACCCAGCTACTTCCACCCAGCTACTTCCACCCAGCTACTTCCACCCAGCTACTTCCACCCAGCTACTTCCACCCAGCTACTTCCACCCAGCTACTTCCACCCAGCTACTTCCACCCAGCTACTTCCACCCAGCTACTTCCACCCAGCTACTTCCACCCAGCTACTTCCACCCAGCTACTTCCACCCAGCTACTTCCACCCAGCTACTTCCACCCAGCTACTTCCACCCAGCTACTTCCACCCAGCTACTTCCACCCAGCTACTTCCACCCAGCTACTTCCACCCAGCTACTTCCACCCAGCTACTTCCACCCAGCTACTTCCACCCAGCTACTTCCACCCAGCTACTTCCACCCAGCTACTTCCACCCAGCTACTTCCACCCAGCTACTTCCACCCAGCTACTTCCACCCAGCTACTTCCACCCAGCTACTTCCACCCAGCTACTTCCACCCAGCTACTTCCACCCAGCTACTTCCACCCAGCTACTTCCACCCAGCTACTTCCACCCAGCTACTTCCACCCAGCTACTTCCACCCAGCTACTTCCACCCAGCTACTTCCACCCAGCTACTTCCACCCAGCTACTTCCACCCAGCTACTTCCACCCAGCTACTTCCACCCAGCTACTTCCACCCAGCTACTTCCACCCAGCTACTTCCACCCAGCTACTTCCACCCAGCTACTTCCACCCAGCTACTTCCACCCAGCTACTTCCACCCAGCTACTTCCACCCAGCTACTTCCACCCAGCTACTTCCACCCAGCTACTTCCACCCAGCTACTTCCACCCAGCTACTTCCACCCAGCTACTTCCACCCAGCTACTTCCACCCAGCTACTTCCACCCAGCTACTTCCACCCAGCTACTTCCACCCAGCTACTTCCACCCAGCTACTTCCACCCAGCTACTTCCACCCAGCTACTTCCACCCAGCTACTTCCACCCAGCTACTTCCACCCAGCTACTTCCACCCAGCTACTTCCACCCAGCTACTTCCACCCAGCTACTTCCACCCAGCTACTTCCACCCAGCTACTTCCACCCAGCTACTTCCACCCAGCTACTTCCACCCAGCTACTTCACCCGCTACTTCCACCCAGCTACTTCCACCCAGCTACTTCCACCCAGCCTACTTCCCCCAGCTACTTCCACCCAGCTACTTCCACCCAGCTACTTCCACCAGCTACTTCCACCCAGCTACTTCCACCCAGCTACTTCCACCCAGCTACTTTCCACCCAGCTAACTTCCACCCAGCTACTTCCACCCAGCTACTTCCACCAGCTACTTCCACCCAGCTACTTCCACCCAGCTACTTCCACCCAGCTACTTCCACCCAGCTACTTCCCACCCCAGCTACTTCCACCCAGCTACTTCCACCCAGCTACTTCCACCCAGCTACTTCCCCCAGCTACTTCCACCCAGCTACTTCCACCCAGCTACTTCCACCCAGCTACTTCCACCCAGCTACTTCCACCCAGCTACTTCCACCCAGCTACTTCCACCCAGCTACTTCCACCCAGCTACTTCCACCCAGCTACTTCCACCCAGCTACTTCCACCCAGCTACTTCCACCCAGCTACTTCCACCCAGCTACTTCCACCCAGCTACTTCCACCCAGCTACTTCCACCCAGCTACTTCCACCCAGCTACTTCCACCCAGCTACTTCCACCCAGCTACTTCCACCCAGCTACTTCCACCCAGCTACTTCCACCCAGCTACTTCCACCCAGCTACTTCCACCCAGCTACTTCCACCCAGCTACTTCCACCCAGCTACTTCCACCCAGCTACTTCCACCCAGCTACTTCCACCCAGCTACTTCCACCCAGCTACTTCCACCCAGCTACTTCCACCCAGCTACTTCCACCCAGCTACTTCCACCCAGCTACTTCCACCCAGCTACTTCCACCCAGCCCCATGCTCCCCATCCCCATGGGCCGCCGCGTGCCATCGGTGCTGCTGCGCCAAGCACTGGACCCCCATGGCCCACCGCTCTCTCTCCCTCTGCCCCTATCCCTCCGACCAGCCTCTCCTGCTTATTATGAACTCCCTTTCCTCTCCCCCATTTCTTCTTCTCTGTTGCCCCTGCTCCCTCCCCCCGACCCCTCTTCCCCCAGTTACTTCCACCACTGCCCCATGCTCGCCATCCCCGGCTTCATCCACCCCGTCTCGGTCTATTCTCTGGATGATCTACCCTCCCTCATGGGCCGCCACTTGCCCTCTGTGGTGCGCCAAGCACTGCACCCCAAGTACGGCTGCGCTGACGAGGACGAGCTCGATGCTGAGCTGGCGGCGAGGGTGGTGGCATGGGTGGATGATGAGTATGCGAGGGAGGACGGATCGATCCTCTGCTTCTTACCTGTGAGTAGTAATGCACTCCTCCTAAGGACAAGTATTGAAGGTAACATGCTCCTGCCTGCTGCTGGTGTGGGTTGTGGCATGGGTGGATGATGAGTTTGCAAGGGAGGACAGGTCCATCCTCTGCTTCCTGCCCGTGAGTAATGTTGCACTTTTCCTTAAGGCATAAGGTGTTGAAGGTTTTTTTAGGCGCCTTTTGAGGACTTTTGAGGCGCCTCAAAAGTCGTCTCAGTTTTGAGGCGCCTCAAAAGTCGTCTCAGTTTTGAGGCGCCTCAAAAGGCATAAGGTGTTGAAGGTAGTAGCAGGTTCCTGCTGCTGTGGGTGGATGATGAGTATGCGAGGGAGGACAGGTCCATCCTCTGCTTCCTGCCTGTGAGTAGTTCGGAGGGACCTGAAAACTCAGGACGAAGAGTCTCTTCAACATGAGCAGGGTTGAGTTGAGACACCATATAAAAGGCCACTGACTACCATGTGCATGTCTCGTTTTGAGGCGCCTCAAACTAGAACTCAGGACGAAGAGTCATTTCAACACGAGCAGGGTTGAGTTGAGACACCATATAAAAGGCCACTGACTACCATGTGCACGTCTCGTTTTGAGGCGCCTCAAACTAGAACTCAGGACGAAGAGTCTTTTCAACATGAGCAGGGTTGAGTTGAGACACCATATAAAAGGCCACTGACTACCATGTGCACGTCTCGTCATCATACCATGTGTTACCATAAGATGCCATGCCACTGCTGTGTCCACATGTGCAGGGGTAGGACACAATAGCAGAATCCACGGCACTGTCCGGCTTACCATGTGCACATCTCATCATCATCATACCATCCTACGGCACACTTCGTCTACTGTCCACCACATGTGCAGGGGTGGGACACGATAGCAGAAGCCAAGCGCCAGCTGCAGTTCCTCCCCAGATCATACCACTTCCACATTGTTATGCTGCATTCCCAGGTGAGAGAGGGGCCTTGCTGCCCGCTCAGGTGAATAAGTGTTGTTAGGTTTTGAGGCACCTCAAAACTAGTCCTCCCGGGGCCATACCGCTTCCACATTGTCATGCTGCACTCCCAGGTGAGTCACACCATGCCTTTCCACGTTCCTGGGCCCTGGCGTTCCTGTCTGTCTATTGTGTTCCACCAACCAAGCTCATGTGGCAGCAGCTCAATTTTCCTTGTCAAAATCTGATGTTTTCTCTGGGCTCATCTTGAGAACCTTGGAATACCTGGACCCCTCTGAATGCCTTTGAACGCCATGCAGGTGCCACCAGCAGAGCAGAGAGCAGCGTTTGATCGACCTCCAGAGGGGAAGCGCAAGGTGAGAGTGGTGATTGTGATGGTGGTACTGGCGGATGGGATAGTGATGGCTATAAAGAGTTGTCCGGCTGATAAACTGTGTATTTTCATTATCTCCATCTTTCCATCCCTCCATCTCTCAGTCGCTCCTCACTGCCATCTCTCCCTGTGTCGCGCTCCCTCCCCGCATCAGGTGATTCTATCGACCAACATAGCGGAGACGAGTGTGACAATAGACGACGTGGTGTTTGTGGTGGATGGCGGCAAGTCAAAGGAGAAGTACTTCGAGCCCGCACGAAACATCTCCTCCATGCGCGTGCAGGTGAGCGGTAGTAGCAGTGTGTGCAGGTGTAGGTCGGGACAGCAGTCGCACACATGAGTCAAGTCCAAGGAGAAGTGCTTTGAGCCGGCAAGAAACATCTCCTTCGTGCGCGTGCAGGTGGGTAGTACGAGCTACTAGCTAGCAATGCTTGTTGGTGGAAACACCTCTCGCTCACATGAGGCAAGTCCAAGGAGCAGTACTGACCATGCGTGCTACAGCACTCACCCACACTAGTCAAGTCCAAGGAGAAGTACTTCGAGCCCGCCCTGAACATCTCCTCTATGCGCGTGCAGGTGGGTGGCGATCATAAGGCGTGCAGGTGAGCAGTAGTAACCATGCTTGCAACAGCACTCACCCACATGATGCAAGTCCAAGGAGAAGTACTTTGAGCCAGCAAGGAACATCGCCTCCATGCGCGTGCAGGTGGGCAGTACGAGCTACTAGCTAGCAATTCTTGTAGGTGGAAACATCTCTCGCTCACATGAGGCAAGTCCAAGGAGAAGTATTTTGAGCCGGCCAGGAACATCGCCTCCATGCGCAGGCAGGTGGATTTCTTTTGGAAGAAACAGATGCAGTCCACATCGTTTTTCCCACTAGTTGCTTCCCTTGCCTGCAGTGGGTGTCCTCTTGGCAAGTGTGAGAGTTTTCATGTGTGTGTGTGTGTGTGTGTGTGTGTGCGCGCGCGCGCGCGTGCGTGCGTGCGTGTGTGTGTGTGTGTGTGTGTGTGTGTGTGTGTGTGTGTGTGTGTGTGTGTGTGTGTGTGTGTGTGTGTGTGTGTGTGTGTGTGTGTGTGTGTGTGTGTGTGTGTGTGTGTGTGTTTGTTTGTTTTTTGTATTAAAAAAAAAAAAAAAAATCTCCGTCGCATCGGTTTTTCCCCACCTGTTTCATGTCGCCTGTGTCGTGCCACCGTGTGTCATCTCCCCGGCCTGCAGTGGGCGTCCAAGGCGAGTGTGAAGCAGAGGCAGGGCCGAGCTGGTCGTGTGCGCCCTGGGAGATGCTTCCGCCTCTTCACTCGCGCGGTGAGGCCACCTGCTTCCTGCTTCCAAGCATTTCCTGATTCCACGCATTTTCTGTGTCCAATCTTTTTTCACTTGGCTCGAAGGCTGTTGATTCAATTTTTATCGCATCCCTCTCGTTGATCCTTCCCACCCCCCGTTTCAGGTCTATGAGGGCATGGCCGCGAATCTGTCCCTGAGATTCAGCGAATGCCTCTAGAGGAATCAATGTTGCAAGGCGCGATCATGTGTGAGCCGCCTCAAATACCGTTTGTCATGACAACCCCTCTCCCTCTCCCTCCACCCCCATCCATACCCTACTCCAGGTGTACGAGGCCATGGCCCCCAACTCAGTGCCTGAGATGCAGCGAGTGCCTCTGGAAGAGATCTGCCTGCAGATCAAACCCCTCCCCCTCGCAGCCGCCGTCACTGCCCACCCCTCCTCCTCCTACCCCTCCTCCTCCACCACTGCACACCGCAGCACCAACATCGGTCTCTTCCTCGCAAAGGCCCTCTCTCCCCCCGATCCTTTTGCCGTTCGCCACGCGATAGAAAACCTCCAGAGGCTCGGCGCGTTGGATGAGGATGAAGAGCTCACAGCCCTTGGATCGACCCTCAGCCGGCTCGCCGTGCACCCTCGGATCGGCAAGATGCTTGTATATGGGTCTCTTCTGCACTGCCTCTCTCCTCTCCTCTCCGTCGCTGCGGCTGCTTCCCTCTCCCGGGACCCGTTCCTGTCTCCCATCACCAACCGCAACGCCGCCGATGCTGCGCGCCGAGCCTTCGCGAAAGGCTCGGCGGCGGGGAGCGACCATCTAGCCGTGGTGATGGCGCATGAGGGGTGGATGAGAGCAAACGCAGAGGGACGGGCGATGGGGTACTGTGATGAAAACTTTTTAGCGCCGTCCGGGATGCGGCTTATGCTTGGGCTGAAGATGCAGATAGAAAGGATGCTGTGGGGGGCTGGGTTGGCCCAATTAGGAGAGTCTCTAGATGCTGATCTGCCGCCTAAGGCTCAGGCTCAGGGTGCTGTTCCAGGAGGCATGGTGGGGCAGGGGAGGGAGGTAAGGAGTGGAGGAGGAAGAGGGGTAAAGAGAGAGTCAGGCAGTGATGGTGGTGATGATGGTACTGCTGCTGGTGGCGGTGGTGGTGCTGCTGCTGCTGCTTCTGGTGGAGCTGCTGGTGGTGCTGGTGGTGGGGTGTCTTCACTGAGTGGTAGGCCTGACATCCGGCATGTGACTCGCATCGATGCTCGCTCTGGCTCCACGCAGCTGGGTGATTCCAGAGGTGCTGCTGCTGGTAGCAGGGATAGCTGGAGGGTCAAGGAGGAGAGGATCTCGGATCAGGAAAGGGATAGGGATAGGGAGAGAGATAGCGACAGGGAGAGGGAGAGGGAGAGAGATAGGGACAGGGAGAGAGAGCGGGATAGAGATAGAGACAGGGATGGGGTAAGGGACAGGGAGAGAGGCAGAGACAGGGACAGTGGAAGGGACAGCGACAGGGATAGGGATCGGGACCGTGAGAGGGAGAAGGAGAGGGAGAGGGAGGGGGAGCGGGAGAGTGAGGGTCGGCGGCACAGGTCGAAGTGGGATGTGCGAGTAGCAGACGAGCGAATGGACGAGCAGATGGACGGCCGAGATTACCCGTCTGGTTCCGACAGAGCCAATGCTTCTCCATCTGAACCGCACATCGATGACACCGACAAATCATCGCTCTTTATCGCTCGCTCAGTGCTTGTCGCGGGCCTTTCTCCCCATGTAGCCCGCTCCGACATGCTCCCGGAAGCCCGAGGCGGTACCGGTTCCGGCAGCAGCAGCACCGGGAAGCAGAAGGTCCGGCTGAGGTTCGGGTTCCGAACCTCGGAGGGTCGGGTGTGGATCCACCCGACAGGGGTGATTCCGCAGCAGGGCAAGGCATTGGACGATGGGGGAGTGCATTTTCTGACGTTCAACGAGCGTGTGCAGACCTCTCAGGTGTTCATCCGTGGATGCACACTCATCCCTGCTCTCTCTATCGTCCTCTTTGGCGGTCCTATCCAGCTTGCCCCTGCCCCATCTCCGTTTCTACCCCTGGGAGGGGCTTTTCCCTCTGGCAATCCGTATGGTGCTGCTGCTGGTGGCGCCTATGGGTTTGGGTCCTCCTCGCTGGCATCTCAGCCGGTTCTGCTCGTTGTGGACCGTTGGATCGAGTTTGTGGTGGATCGGCATGTGGGAGAGCTGCTGGTGCAGCTTCGGGCGGTGCTGGATTCGATTCTGGGGAGGTGGGTGGCGGGAGGGCCGCGGCCGGCCAATGAGAGGCGAGTGGTGGGGTGTGCTGTGAGGCTGCTGGAGCAAGCGGGGAGAGCAGCCGTGCGGGAGACGGAAAATGCAGAAAAAAACTCTGCTGCTGGTGCTGGTGCTGGTGCTGGTGCTGGTGCTGGTGCTGGTGCTGGTGGTTATGGTGGTGTTGCTGGTGCTGCTGGTGGTGTTGCTGGTGGTCCGGTTGGTGCGATGGGATCGTTTGGTGGCATGATGTCAGTTGGTGGTGGTGCTGTTGCGGGTAGGGTGATTGATGATGGTGACCGATGGATGTCAGGAGGTGGTGGGGGGGATTGGAGGGGAGGTGGTGCTGGCGGGGGGGATTGGAGGTCTGGTGGTGCTGTAAGGGCGGATTGGAGGGGGGCCGGTGCTGGTGGTCGTCATGAGCCTAGTCCTCGTGGGTATGGTGACCGAATCTCAAGGGATGGGTATGGGTATAGAAGGTAAATAAATCCAGCACGGACGGGCCTTTGACATTAGCTGCTTATTTGAGTAATTGTCATTTTGTCCAGTTTCAAAGTTAGTTCTATAGATCGTTCGGATTGTGATTATGGGGTTTCACGAAACATCGGTGATGCTTTGTTACCAAATCCGTGATACCGTAAGAGCTTCTGACAAGCCGCGACATTCGGATGTCCGTTGACAGTGAACTCGGTGCTCCCAAGCAAATCCTTGTCATTCCGTGACTTAGTTGGAGTTTCTAAGGCATTTCCTCTCCAACTGTCTGCACAGTTCGGCACTCCCCAGTGTTTTGCAGAAAGTCCTGCATTCATTCGCGTTCCTGCAGCAACCACTGGGAGAAGTAACACGAGTCGGCACGCTAAGCCGAGACGTCGATAAGCACCGCGTGCTGAATCTCCGTTTCTTGGCTAATCAGCGTCATGGTCTCGACTGATCAAGCACACGAGTTAGCCGGACCAATAGGGACAGAAGCTAATAATCCTCATTGCCATGTAGAATCTTTAGAGAAGTCTCCTGCCATTGAGTCAGGAAGCAAGGATGGCAAGGACCCCTCTGCCGACCTCAAAGCTAAGGTCACGTGGACTTGCCGTGGTATGCCTTCCACTCACCTAGAACAGACCGTGGGTGCTTCTGATTTTTTAATGATATTATTATTTTAACCTGTCCACTTTTATTTATTTTAAGCAGATGTTATTTTTTATCAGCGTGGCCACCAACCACCATCATGTGACTCCCTCCGTCCCAACATTCCTCATTGTCAACCTCAGATTGCGACCGCAGCTGTCTACCAGTACGAGACGAATCCCAATGTATCTGCGGCCACAGGCTTCGAGAGCATCGCCTGAAACCGCCTCCTACTCAGCAAAACTCTTCTGAAACAATAACTGCGGACAAATCGACCGACTCATGGCCGTCGGAAAACCCGGAAATGCAAGTTACGGACTCCCTGCCTGGACCGCCGAGCGATTCGCATTCAGGCTCGTCGTCGTCGTCTTCGCATTGTGGTGAATTTCAGCTGGTCTGCGGACGAGCGAAATGTGCGTGTGAGAGTTTCTTCTTCATTCCAGCTCAAGGCGTCTGGATCCTTCGTTGCAGATGCAAGGTGCACGCCTTTCTAGTTTCATTCATTCATGCATTTATGCATCTGTGCGTTCTGGGTTATGCCATGTGTTCCGTCTCAAAAAATCGTTTACTGCATATGCAAGGTCTACGCCTTTCTGCTTTCATTTTCACTCATTCATGTCGTATGCAATCGTTACCTGGCCTCGCTGACTGCTTGCTGACCATGTGAATTTTGCTGTTTATAGAAATTTCAAAACCCTGTCCAAATGTTTCTGGTGTGTGCAGTTGCACCTCAACAAAGTCTGGCAGTCGTGCGAAGTTTACAGATTTTTCGTTTCTCTTTTTTCGTTATTTTTGTTTCCTTTGTTCTGTCCATCTATCATGCAGCATAAGCATGTGGAACACGAGCCAACATCGCACAAATGCATCCGGCCAAAGTGCTCATGCGACAAGTTTGATAGCCCATCGGTTAGTGAGCCTACGCCGTGCATGCACAGATGAAGCATGACGGTCACATGCATGCATGACTCAAGGTAGTGGTAGAGGTACGTGATGAATGATTGGTCACAGGAACCATGTGTGACATGTGTGGCTGACCATACATGTTGAATGCATGAACGAAGGTGTCCAGTTTGCTATTCTGCAGATCGTCATGGGAGGGAAAGAGTGAGCAAGTGAAGTTCTCTCCTGACCGAGGACATCACCACTTCCAGCTCTCTCTCTCTCATTTGCTTCACTGTTTCACATGTGCTTCACTGTTTCATGTCATTTTTTTCTTCTTTTTTGTCCTTTTCTTTTTCTTTTTCTTTTTTTTCGACTTCTGCTGGATTATCAGGTGTGCAACTGCAATCATCCATGGGGTCATCACACACAACAGACCAGTGTCCTGACAAGACAGCAGCTCCTCAAACAAAGGTAACCCCTCCGCAATGCAAAGTATATTCTTGATTTGCTTTGTCAAATAAACCCTCGCGAAACAGCATCTGGTGTGCTAATGTCATTTTCAACCGGTCCTCTGCAGGATGGAAGACATTGCATCTCCAGCGCCAGAGGTTAACAATGTGGCAGCATTGATGAGAGGCCTTCAGGCATGACTGCCATACTGGCTTGCTGATACTCTACCCAGGCTCTTGTAGATAGCCTTGAAGGAAAGTCTCATTACAATTTATCAGGTGCTGTAACTGTAACATGTCCTTCGCTTTCACGCATCTTTCTTGCTTCTCTGGAGCTCACCATTGCAGGTTGCATTATGCAAGCCTCTTTTAAAGTCATTGTGACCTTGGTTGTTCTGAAAGGCTCTGTTCATCTTCACGGCTGGCTGAAAATGGTGGTGACATGACACGACTTAATGCAACAATGTTACTGGTACCGTATATGAAGGTAGCTTAGTCAACCACCGCCGTCGCCTTTGTGACTTGTGGTTGTTGTGGCCATCGCTCCATCCTTTCAAGTGTGCGCTCAGATGACACTTGAAACCTGGCTGGCAGTGGCTGATTGATACAAACCGAGGCGTGGCGTCTCTGAAATCTGCTAGCTGCAGAAAACACAACTCAACTCAACCGAAAGCCAGGGAGGTAACTCATGGTCAGGCAGTACTGGTTAACTTGAGACCATACGGTAACATGAATAATGAGTAATAATAATAATACGTGGTGGATAATGAGTCTGCTAGCGATGCATTGCACTGCACAGTTGATGATATCTGGTTTCTGCCAATGCAGGTCGGAGATCCCTACTTAGCCAGGAGGCACAGCAAAAGCCAAGCTACCGTATCACCCCGGATAAGCGCACCTGCGCTTACAATAAAACATGATTTTTCAGGGGGGTGCGCTTATAATTGAGTAAAAAATATAAGCGCATGCGCTTATAAAGTAACAAATATACAATTTTAAACTACTAACACGAAAATGTAGTTCGCGTCATTGCGCACCCAATCGAGTCGATTTGAAACAGGGTTGTGGGTGAAAAACTCTCACTACTTGGCAGGGAAAGATTCCCTGCCAGCACATACACTCAAAATGAGTCACTAGGAGCTTCTGACAGCACTTGCTGACTTGACACGCAGCCTGTGCAGGGTTTGAATGCGAAGGAAATCTGATTTTCAACTCATCACCTCCTAAAGTGAACTTCGTTACAGTAATTTGACAGTTTTTCAATTTTAAAACTAACATGCGCTTATAATAAATCATGTTTTTTAAGGGGGTGCGCTTATAATTGAGGATCGGACATAAGCGCATTGCTCCAGAGAGAAGCGCATGCGCTTTTAATAGGCCTGCGCTTTTATCCGGGGTGATACGCTGTATAATCAACACCGTATATGGATATGTACACTGCAATGGCACAATGTCAGGGGCAGGAATGATCCCCTTATAGACACCATCATGCCACATCCATTCAGGAAACGATAAATAGGTACAACACCACGTGCATGCACGATGCTGGGAGCATGCTTGAGCACCACCAAGCATCAACTCAAGATGTGCCTGTTAGAAGTGACGTACCGTACCCAGAGAGTCATGGACGCCTCAAGAAGCTGCTACAGGAAAGCTTGGTTTTATTGACAGTCGGGGCAAGCAAAGGAGCTAGTGGATGGCCCTGCTTCTCTCCTGCTCACCCCGCTATTGCCCAGGCCAGCGAGACCGGCTCTTGTGGTCCAACCAGCTGGAAGTGCGGGTGTGGCGTGCACCTCTATCGCTTGCTCCACCCCTCTCACCCTCCTGGTGAGGGTGCTTCACTCTCCTGCCACTGCTGCTGCTGCTGCTATCGCCCAGGCCGGTGAGAGTGGCTCTTCTGGTCCAACCAGCTGGAAGTGCGGGAGTGGCGTGCACTACTACCACTACCACCACCCCTTGCTGCATTTCTCTCGCCCTCCTGACTCTTCTGGTCCAAGCAGCTGGAAGTGCGGGAGTGACGTGCACCACTATTCCTTGCTCCACCCCTCTCGACTTCCTGGTAAGTGTACTTCTCTTGACTAGAGCGGCCCTTTCTGTACCCCCCCTCATCTTCCTCCTCACCTCCCCCCATGTCTCCATAGCCCCTATCGTACACATCACTCCCATATACCGGTACTTCTTCCCCATTTCTTCTATACACTTCATCCCCCTCCCCTTTGTACCTGCTGTGCATGCCTTCCTTTTCTCCGTTACGCCTCTCTTTAAACCCCTGTGCACTCTGCTGCTGCCGACCACTGCTCCTTTGCGACTGTTTCTTCCTGTCCCCATATCTGTCCCCATCTCTGTCCCCATCTCTGTCCGCATCTCTGTCCCCACCTCTGTAGCTGTACTGTCCCTCTCCGCTCTTTCTGCGCACTTCATGTTGTGCACTCTCGTCCTCATCTCCACTCACCACTTCCCCACTCCCTTCACCATCCCCATTCTCCACCTCACTATCCTCACACTCACTCCACTCCTTACTATCCTCCTTATCACTCCCTTCCTCCTCTCCCTCCTCCTCCACTTCTTGACTGTCACGCCATTGCTGCCGCCTCTCCCCATAACCACCACTGCCTCCTTCCCACCCTCCCTCTCCTCTCCCCTTTCCTCGCGAATGCTCCTTCTCATAAGTAAAGTTCCTTTCCCCTTGCTCCTCTTCACCCTCACTCCCACTGTTTCTTCCATCGACTTTGCCCCTTCCACTGTCGCACCTGCGAGAAGGCTTCATTCCAGATTTTGTCCCTGCTCTCCCTTCAACACGTTTGACCCCAATTCCTTTACCCTGACTTGCTCCACAATCTCTGGACCATCTCGTTCGTCCACTCTCCACCACCTCTTCCCCATCCTCCTCCTCCTCTTCCTCCTCCTCCTTCTCCTCTTCATCCTCCTCCTCCTCTTCTTCCACCTCTTCCCCATCCCATGCCTCTTCCTCTTCCTCCCCCTCTTCCTCCCCTGCATTCTCCTCATAATCGCCCCCACCGTATCCAGCCATTTCCCTCTCCTCCACTTGCCTCCGTCCCGCCTTCTCCATCTCCCTGCCATCTGTCCCATGATTCCAGTGCTTCTGCCTGGACCACTCTCCGTCCTCCTCAGCCCATTCTCCTTCCTCCTCCTCGGCCTCCTCATACCTCCGTCCAGCATTCAGAGACCGGCCACCTTCCACAGAATCCCATGCTTCCTCCTCCTTGACCTCCTCGTTCCCCTTTCCCGCCTTCAGCCTCTCCCTGCCGCGTTTCGCAGGTTCTGAGTGCTGCCGTCCCCATTCTCCATCCTCCCCATCCTCCTCGTTCTCCGCGTGCCTCCTTCCAGCCCTCACCCTCTCCCTGCTCCCTTTTACAGGATCTAAATTCTGCCTGCCCCACTCTCCATCCTCCTCGTTCTGAACTTGCCTCCTTACAGCCTTCACCCTCCCCCTGCCGCCTGCCACAGGATCTGAGTTCTGCCTATCCCATTCTTCCTCCTCGTCCTGCACTTGCCTCCTTACGGCCTTCACCCTCCCCTTGCCACCTTGTACAGGATCTGAGTTCTGCCTATCCCACTCTTCCTCCTCGTCCTGCACTTGTCTCCTTACGGCCTTCACCCTCCCCTTGCCACCTTGTACAGGATCTGAGTTCTGCCTGCCCCACTCTTCCTCCTCCTCCCCTTCCAACTGTCTCCACACCACATGCAGCCCTGCACCTGTCTCCTTATGCCCCTTCTGCTGCTTCTTATCCCGCAATTGCTGCTGCTGATAGTTCTGCTCATACTGCTGCTCCTCATACCCCTGCTTGTGCTCATGCTCCTCCCCATGCCGCCCCTGCTGCTCGTCCCACCCGGGGTTCCTCTGCTGTTTCCCAGACAATCTGCTCCCTCCAATCCGCCCGGACTCACCTCCTCTCTGCCTCTGTCCGCTCCCATGGCCGTTCACCAGGGAACGAGCAGCCAGAGAGGCGGAGTGGGCGTGGTGGATGGGCGGTCTCCCAGCCCCTGCTGCAGCAGAGGAGGTTGCTGGGCGATCGAGAGGGCGCCGCCGCTCAGGTGTGGAGTGGGATCGCTCAAAGGCGCCGGGGGGAGGGTAGAGGTCAACGAGTTCTTCTGGATTGCCAAACGTGCGACTCCTGGTGTCGGGGGTTGTGGGTAGAAGAGAGCGGAAGGCAGGGGAGTTGCACAAATAAAAATCAGAACGAGCAGCCAGAGAGGCGGAGTGGGCGTGGTGGATGGGGGGCCTGCCAGCCCCTGCTGCAGCAGATGAGGTTGCCGGACGCTCCAGAGGCTGCTGCCGCTCAGGTGTGGAGTGCGAACGCACGTCTCCACCCTAGAACCCTAAAACACTATACCCGAAACCCTAAAGCATAAACCCTAACGCTTGGCTCTTCTGGATTACCGAAAGGTGCGACTCCTGGTCGGAGGAAACAGAAAGTGGGTGAGTTTTGAGACGCATAAAAAACACTCAAGACGCCGCTGGCACTCGGGTGTGGAGTGCCATAACTTGAAAACCAGACCCCATGCTTGCATGCCTGCCAGCCATACTGACCTGGCCTTCCTGTTGTACTTTGGCCATGCCCCACCCGACGCTCCATCCAATTTTGAGATGTCTCAATTGGTTGAGACATAAAATAAAATAAAAATCACCCCAGGCTTGGACGCCAGCAATACTGACCTGGCCTTCCTGTCGTACTTTGGCCGTGCCCCACCCGACGTTCCATCCGCCACCCTGCTTGCACGGGAACCACAACTCCCCACCTCCTCCTCCTCCCCCTCCTCCCTCTCACCCTCCTCCACCCCTCTCACTGCCCCCTTGTCGCCCCTACCACCCTTCCCCAGCCGCGACCCACGCAGACCCCCTTGCCCTTCCCCAACCCGCCTTCCCAGACTAGCAGTCAGAAGCGCCCCCTCCCCCTCTCCACCCATGCAGCCTGACCCTACTCGCCCTCGAACACCATCCCCTTGCTCTGCCTCGTCCCATCTATCCGCTTCTCGTTCCCTCGCTCTCTTGTCTGCTGCACAATCCGAGGCCACTCGCTCAACACCACCACGCACATGGGGAAACCCCCGCTGCAGGTGAGACCTACTGTGGCTCTCCTGCTCGTGGCTCTGGCTCTGGGTGTGGCTCTGGCTGTAGCTATGGCTGTGGCTGCGAACGCAGGTGTTCCTCTGGTTATAGCTGCTGCTGTGGCTGTGGTTGCTTCGAGATGACTCAAAACTCTGGCTCCTCTGGCGTCTGTGGTTGCTGTTGTTGCTTTCCCCAGCGGTCGAGTCTCCTCCGTGAGTCCAGTCTCCTCCGTGCCTCCAGTCACCTCCGTGCCTCCTACTAGACGTGTCCTCTGTTGACGGAATAAACCCTCTCCTGCTGCCGCTCCTACTGAACATATTTCCAGGAGGGGTCACGCTCCCATTTCCCATGCCACCGCGACTAAACATATTTCCAGGAGGCGTCAGGCTACCGCTCCCACTCTTACCCAACGCACCGGAAGGAGGGGTCAAATTACCGCTGCCACTCTTACCCAGGGTGCCAGGGGGAGGGGTCAGGCAACCACTGCCACTCTTCCCCAATGCTCCACTAGGAGGTGGAGTCAGACTCCCACTACCACCACCACCGCCAATGCTGCTGCCATATCTGCCGCTGCAGCTGCTCCTGCCTCTAGCCCTCCCGCTTCCAAAGGAGTGAGACATCAGGTACCCCTCCGCATCGCGCTCCTCAGCAGATGCACCTCCCCCGGAAGAACCTCCCCCTGCTACAGCCTCTCGGTACTTGTCGAACGAGAAGTAGGCGACCCGAGGAGTGACAACAGGGCTGACAGCAGGGCCAGACGCATCACCACCAGTGGGGGTGGTTGCACCAGTACCAGTAGGGGTAATTGCACCATTACCAGTAGGGGTAGTTGCACCAGTACCAGTAGGGGTAATTGCACCATTACCAGTAGGGGTAATTGCACCATTACCAGTAGGGGTAATTGCACCATTACCAGTAGGGGTAATTGCACCATTACCAGTAGGGGTAGTTGCACCATTACCAGCAAAAGAACCAGCATCGGCAGCAGCAGCGGGCAGACGACCAGAGAAAGAGGTACTGACACCAGGGCGCATTCGCGAGAGGCTTCGACCCCTGCTGGGGTCGGAAGCAGCACAGCCAGCCTCGTCTCTCAGCCGTTCCACAGCACTGGCACTGCTCCTCCCATGCACCCCGCTGTTGCTCCACAAGCCGTCGCTGTGCTGCTGACTTGCAGCGTACCGTGCTGTACCCTCCTCCACCGAGCTGCACCTCACAGCAGACCCCCACGGCCTATGCTGCTGCTGCTGCTGCTCTTCAGGGTTCTCCTCCTCATCTGCTTCTCTGTGCTGTTGTGTGTGTTCCCGCGATTCATACGACTCGTACGGTCCCCAATGTGCCTCAATCTCCTGTGCATGACTTGACAACTCTGCCGGCATCTCATCCCGCTGCTGCATCCGCAGCTGTTCCTCCCCCTCCTCCTCTTGCTGCTGCTGCTGCTGCTGCTGCTGCTGCTGCTGCTGCTGGTGATGCGCCTGGGATTCAGCAGAGGTGAAAGTGACCGACTTAAGGAACGAAGGCAGCCCCGACAGCAGAGCAGAATCAGCAACAGACCCGAACGAAATCTGCGACTTCTGCCGAGAATGGTGGTGGTGCTGAGTATGCTGAGTATGCTGAGTATGCTGAGTATGCTGAGTATGCTGAGTATGCTGAGTATGCTGAGTATGCTGAGTATGCTGAGTATGCTGAGTATGCTGAGTATGCTGAGTATGCTGAGTATGCTGAGTATGCTGAGTATGCTGAGTATGCTGAGTATGCTGAGTATGCTGAGTATGCTGAGTATGCTGAGTATGCTGAGTATGCTGAGTATGCTGAGTATGCTGAGTATGCTGAGTATGCTGAGTATGCTGAGTATGCTGAGTATGCTGAGTATGCTGAGTATGCTGAGTATGCTGAGTATGCTGAGTATGCTGAGTATGCTGAGTATGCTGAGTATGCTGAGTATGCTGAGTATGCTGAGTATGCTGAGTATGCTGAGTATGCTGAGTATGCTGAGTATGCTGAGTATGCTGAGTATGCTGAGTATGCTGAGTATGCTGAGTATGCTGAGTATGCTGAGTATGCTGAGTATGCTGAGTATGCTGAGTATGCTGAGTATGCTGAGTATGCTGAGTATGCTGAGTATGCTGAGTATGCTGAGTATGCTGAGTATGCTGAGTATGCTGAGTATGCTGAGTATGCTGAGTATGCTGAGTATGCTGAGTATGCTGAGTATGCTGAGTATGCTGGAGTATGCTGAGTATGCTGAGTATGCTGAGTATGCTGAGTATGCTGAGTATGCTGAGTATGCTGAGTATGCTGAGTATGCTGAGTATGCTGAGTATGCTGAGTATGCTGAGTATGCTGAGTATGCTGAGTATGCTGAGTATGCTGAGTATGCTGAGTATGCTGAGTATGCTGAGTATGCTGAGTATGCTGAGTATGCTGAGTATGCTGAGTATGCTGAGTATGCTGAGTATGCTGAGTATGCTGGAGTAGCTGAGTATGCTGAGTATGCTGAGTATGCTGAGTATGCTGAGTATGCTGAGTATGCTGAGGTATGCTGAGTATGCTGAGTATGCTGAGTATGCTGAGTATGCTGAGTATGCTGAGTATGCTGAGTATGCTGAGTATGCTGAGTATGCTGAGTATGCTGAGTATGCTGAGTATGCTGAGTATATGCTGAGTATGCTGAGTATGCTGAGTATGCTGAGTATGCTGAGTATGCTGAGTATGCTGAGTATGCTGAGTATGCTGAGTATGCTGAGTATGCTGAGTATGCTGAGTATGCTGAGTATGCTGAGTATGCTGAGTATGCTGAGTATGCTGAGTATGCTGAGTATGCTGAGTATGCTGAGTATGCTGAGTATGCTGAGTATGCTGAGTATGCTGAGTAGGCGGAACCAAACACTCCCCCATGCTCCTTCTCCTTCTCCTCGTCCTTATCCCCATTATGCCCACCAAACCTACCTGATCCATGTGTCTCAACAGCAGGTGCACCCTTTGAACCCCCACCCTCCTCTCCTGGTCTCTGCTTGGAGGCCAGAATACCCCATCCAGGCCCCCCTAACCCCCTACCGCTCTCTTCCCCTTTCTCCCTGAAAGCCCACCACTTGCCCTGCTTCCCCTCGCCCTTCACCATTCCCTCCTTTGCTGCATCCTTGAGCGTATCACTAACAGTCCTCGGAACCACCGTCTTGCTGCTACTACCCGGATCCTCCCTCTTGCCAAGCCCAGGCATGGCGAACCCAGGCTTGGTGGATCCAGGCTTGGCAGGCCCAGCCTTAGGTCCGGTGACTCTCTTGGTGATTCCGGCTAGGATGGCGGAGGTGAAGGTTCGGGTGCGGCTGAAATCGTCAAAGTCTGGAGTTTCTTCTTCCTCCTCCCCTTCCGCCATCATCCACGCGTTTTCAAGTGCCGCTTCCTTGTCTAGTGCTGCTGCCTCTGCTCCCCCTCCCCTCATTGCACTTGCCCCTGCTGCTGCTACTGGTGTTCCCCCTCCCCCTCCTCCTCTCATTTCCTCTACTGCCTCTTCTCTCTGAACCATGCCCCCTGCTGCTACTTCTGTCGCTGCAACTGCTGCTCCTTCTCTTGCTGGCCAGCTCCCTTCAACCCCCCCGTCAACTCCTCCTCCTCCTTCGCGCCACCCTCCTTCCCCCGCACCTCCCTCCCCTCCATCGTTTCCCATGGGTGATGCTGCCATGCTCACCCTCTCTCTCCAAGAAGCAGTCACTTCCGACCCCCCTCCCACTCCCACCCCCACCCCCACCCCCATCCCCATCCCCACCCCCATCCCCACCCCCATCCCCATCCCAGTCCCTCTCCACAACCCGCGAAATCCCCGTCCATCCCCATCCCCATCAGCCATCCCCCTGCCATCAGTCTTCGCTCTCGTCAGCACAAACCTGTCACTCGCACCACCACCACCTCCCACAGACGAAGCAGCTGCAGCAGCACTAGCCACCACAGCATCAACATCAATCTTCTCCCACCCGCTTTTCCCCCCATCGCCCTGGCCCCTTAACACACCCCAGACCCCCTTTAGGGGACTCCCAGGCCGGTCAAACCTGAGAGGACTACTCGGGCGGTCGAGTCTCGCACTCCTGCACTTATCTAAGAACCGGTTCGGACTGGCCCCGCCCGGGGGGGTGCGAGGAGGCGTGTGGGTGGGGGTGTGGGAGGGGGAGCGCGGGGGGGTGCGTGGAGGGGTCTGGTTGGGGGAGCGAGGGGGGGTTTTGGACCGGCGGAGCAGGCCAGAGAGCGGGCCGGAAAACGGACTGCTGGGGCGAGAGGTGGAGGAGGGGGCAGATGCAGATAAGTCGTTTGTGGTTAGATCGAGTGCCAGCAGGGATGCTGCATCACGCGCCAGCCGTGCCATGGCGTCGCTGTCCACGTCAGCAAACGACCCGATGTCTCGCTCTGCTGCAAACCCGCGCGGGCCGAAGCGGCTGCTGCTGCTGCCAACGCCGCCGATAATGCTTCTGCCGATGTCACTGTTGCCAACACTACTGCTGGTGCCAAAAATACCGCTGCCGTTGCCGAAGCCGTTACCAGAGCCATTGCCGCTGGTGCTTGTGCGCTGCTCTCTAACAGAAGCCGAGTACAGGAGCCTACCAGGCGACGCCTGAAAGCTGCTGCTGCTGCTGCTCTTCTCCTGGGAAGAACATCTGCTTTCAACCCGTGGAGCCCTGCCCCACAAGTCTGATATATCCTCGCCTTCTTGAAACTCCGCGTTTTCATTCTCCCCTTCTCGAAGCTCCCCTTGAACTCCCGGTGCTCCCAGACTCTGACTCCCTCGGAAAAGCATTGCAGTGCTGCTGCTGCTGCTGCTGCATACCGAATCCATTTCCCTCTCCGCATCTCGCACTGACTCCCACGGACCACCAGCACCCATGTCTCGGCCCACACTCCTGCTGCCACCACCCTCGTACCCTGCTGCTCCTCCATCCCAGTTTCCTTCCTCCCTCTCCCCCACATCAAAACCAAATCCCCCTCCTTCTTCCACACCTTCCACCTGGGTAGAATTCCTCGAGAGAGCCGAAGGAGCCATGGACAACAGAGCAGCGCGATTGGCGAGATGAGTTGTGACTCGACTCAAGCACTGCCTGATTGCCTGGTGGGATCCCTCGAGACTGCCGAAGGAGCCATGGACGAGAGAGTGGTGCGACTGGCGAAATCTTCGGGGTGCCTCGTTCGAGTGCAGGGGCCCGTAAGTCCCTGATTGTGTCGTTTAACCGCCTCCCCCTCCGCGTTCACGAAAGAGAGAGTGGTTTATGAGTCGACTTAGAAGTCGCCTCTTTCGCGTGCAGGAGCCCGCACTTTCGAGGCGCCTCAAAATAAGAGAGAGGTTTACGAGTCGACTTAGAAGTCGCCTCTTTCGCATGCAGGGGCCCGCAAGTCCCTGAACATCGTCAAATCGTCCCCTCTCCCTTTTCTTTTGGCAGAATAACAAGTTGACTCCCGTCGTTGACCTCCGTTGACTCCCCTTGACTGTCGTTGACTCTTGTTGACTGCAGGATCCCAAGGGCCGTAAGCTGCTGCGGTTCGACTTTTACCAGTCCAGGTAACAAGCAGGCTGTGCAAGCATGTACGTGGGTGTGAGGAGGAAGGGGATTTGTGGAGGAGAAAGGGAGGGGAAAGGGGGGATGGGAGGTATGATGCTTGTTTTGTGTGTGTGTGTGTGTGTGTGTGTGTGTGTGTGTGTGTGTGTGTGTGTGTGTGTGTGTGTGTGTGTGTGTGTGTGTGTGTGTGTGTGTGTGTGTGTGTGTGTGTGTGTGTGTGTGTGTGTGTGTGTGTGTGTGTGTGTGTGTGTGTGTGTGTGTGTGTGTGTGTGTGTGTGTGTGTGTGTGTGTGTGTGTGTGTGTGTGTGTGTGTGTGTGTGTGTGTGTGTGTGTGTGTGTGTGTGTGTGTGTGTGTGTGTGTGTGTGTGTGTGTGTGTGTGTGTGTGTGTGTGTGTGTGTGTGTGTGTGTGTGTGTGTGTGTGTGTGTGTGTGTGTGTGTGTGTGTGTGTGTGTGTGTGTGTGTGTGTGTGTGTGTGTGTGTGTGTGTGTGTGTGTGTGTGTGTGTGTGTGTGTGTGTGTGTGTGTGTGTGTGTGTGTGTGTGTGTGTGTGTGTGTGTGTGTGTGTGTGTGTGTGTGTGTGTGTGTGTGTGTGTGTGTGTGTGTGTGTGTGTGTGTGTGTGTGTGTGTGTGTGTGTGTGTGTGTGTTGTGTGTGTGTGTGTGTGTGTGTGTGTGTGTGTGTGTGTGTGTGTGTGTGTGTGTGTGTGTGTGTGTGTGTGTGTGTGTGTGTGTGTGTGTGTGTGTGTGTGTGTGTGTGTGTGTGTGTGTGTGTGTGTGTGTGTGTGTGTGTGTGTGTGTGTGTGTGTGTGTGTGTGTGTGTGTGTGTGTGTGTGTGTGTGTGTGTGTGTGTGTGTGTGTGTGTGTGTGTGTGTGTGTGTGTGTGTGTGTGTGTGTGTGTGTGTGTGTGTGTGTGTGTGTGTGTGTGTGTGTGTGTGTGTGTGTGTGTGTGTGTGTGTGTGTGTGTGTGTGTGTGTGTGTGTGTGTGTGTGTGTGTGTGTGTGTGTGTGTGTGTGTGTGTGTGTGTGTGTGTGTGTGTGTGTGTGTGTGTGTGTGTGTGTGTGTGTGTGTGTGTGTGTGTGTGTGTGTGTGTGTGTGTGTGTGTGTGTGTGTGTGTGTGTGTGTGTGTGTGTGTGTGTGTGTGTGTGTGTGTGTGTGTGTGTGTGTGTGTGTGTGTGTGTGTGTGTGTGTGTGTGTGTGTGTGTGTGTGTGTGTGTGTGTGTGTTCGTGGAGGGATGTAAGGGGTAGGATTTCTCACGCCATTCGTCCTTGGTATCCCCTCCCTCTTCCCCCTCCACCCTTGTGCTCCTACCCTCCCATTCCTTTTCCGCCCTACTCTTTTACCTGCCCACACCCATCCCGGCTACACTCCCTCCTGCCCTCCCACCCCAGCTCGCCCCTGTCCCTCTACCCGTCCCCCCCCCACCACCATGTAACTCTGCAACAGCCATGTCAGCACTGCTTAAGCTGTTTAAGAATTCTAAAAAGTGACTCCAATATGACTGTTCTGCCTGGGCACTGTTGAGATTTTAATTTACAGTTGATTTTTTTTTTTTTTTTTTTTTTTACGAAACAATTTTGGGCTCTGCTGCCTGTGCACCTGATTCTTCAGGCGCCTTCGAAATCTTCACTTCCCCCCACCCCCCCTCCCGTCCCCACCACCTTCCCAACCAGCTACGGCTTTTGAGGCGCCTCAAAAGTCCCCCCACCCCCCCTCCCGTCCCCACCACCTTCCCAACCAGCTACGGCACAACAGCCGTGTCAGCGTCTGGTATCGTGCTGCCTGCCTGGGCGGCTAATTTCTGAGGCGCTTGAAATATCTCGCCCCTCCCCCATACCCACCCCACCACCTTCCCAACCAGCAATGGAACAACAGCCGTGTCAGCGTCTGGTATCGTGCTGCCAGGGGGACTGTCTGATTTTGGACCCCAGCTGGATGGGCATGTGGGGGGGGCTGGGGGGATGGTGGCAGAAAAGGAGGAGGTTAAGAGGAGCAGGTGGGATGGGGAGGAGGTGACAGTGATTGTGCCTGGGAGGATTGTTCGCTCCTTTGTAATGCAGCAGCAACAGAAGTCCAAGTACCAACCCGTGCAGCAACGCTGGCGCTTTCAACAGCAGCAGCAGCAGAAGCAGCAGCAGCAAAGCGCATCGGCACCCCGTTTGCTTCCTGGCACGCGCATCGACATTACCTTTGAGGTGATAGTAATGGTAGTAGTACCTTATTAGCTTTGAGGTGATAGTAATGGTGGTAGTACCTTATTAGCTCCGAGGCAGTGCCTACTAATACAGCGAGTCCCTCACATGTGTCGTGCACGTTCACGTGGCTGCGTGTCTTTCCAAAGAGGTGACTTTTCAGTCGACTCAAAAGTCACCTTGCTACTACAGTGAGTCCCTCACATGTGTCGTGCACGTTCACGTACATGTTGTTCATGTGCCGGCGTGTCTTTCCAAGGCAGGCACTGCCCAATGCACATGCTTTTATTTGAGGCGCCTCAAAACTCAGCTGCACGTGTGCTTGAGGTAAAACTCTAGATGCATTTACAGTCGGTGCTGCTTCAGTCAGGCACATTTAGTTTTGAGAAGCTTCAAAACTCAAACGCCCTGCTCTGCTGTGACTATGACTAATGCCTTTTCTACTTTCAAATTTCCCATCGTCCCTTCATCCCTCGCATCCCTGTTCTGTGACTCGTCCCCACACACACCAACCAAACCCTCCTTTCCCTCGTTGCCACCGGTGATTTTTTAGTCAACTCAACTACCTTCCTTTCCTTCACTGTCACTCGCCGCCAGCCTCCATTCCTGCAGGTACCCCCGCAGTCACAGCCCTTCTCTCTTCCAGCGGAGCTCCTCTGCTTTGTGAGTGCCTGCCTCTGTCTTAGGAGAGAAGATGTGAAGAGTAGTTACAAGTTGGGGTTTCTTTATGCGCCAGCACGGGCCGTCACAGCCGGTTTCTACAGCTGCGGAGCTCCTCTGATTTGTGAGTGCATTCGCCTACCTTAGCAGAGAAAATGTGACTAGTGGTTGGAAGGTGGAAGTAGGTGAGAAGGTAATGTATCACAAGCTGCCAGAAGGTATTTCTATAGCTTCTATCTTGCAGGTAAGGTACCTTTCTACCTTTTTTCTTGGTGCCACAAAAGGTGTGAACTCGTCCCTTCAATTTTTTCAAAGCCTCAAACTTTTCCTCCTTCCTTTGCTCCGCTGTGTCTCTCTAGGTGGAGCTTCCAGGCATGAGCTCTTACCTGGCAGCATCATTCCTGGCCTCTAACTCTGACTGCCCACCCATCCTCCCCTCTCTCTCCCCCTCGTCCTCCTCCTCACTCCCCCCCTCCTCCCCCTCTTCCTCTCCTGCACTCCCTCCCTCCTCAGTCTCCTCCTCCTCTTCCTCGTCCTCCCCTGCAGCACCAGCAGCAGCAGCATCTTTGAGACGTCTAAAAAAACTACTTTCTCCTCCAGCAGCAGCATCAACACCGGATTCTCTTGAGCTAGCAGTGCTGCGCGTTAGGCTCATTCACCCACTATCAGCAGCAGCGACAGTAACAGGGGCAGGGGTGAGGGCAGCCGCACCAGCAGTGGCAGTAGCAGCAGCAGGGGAATTGCGGTGCATGGTTCACGAGCAGATGAGGCTGAGGCGAGAATTGAAGGTACGGGACCGAGCCGAACTGGAGGTACAGGTACGGGCAGATGAGGCACGAGCAAATATTTCTTTTGCACACTTTGTTTTTCTGTTCTCACCATCGTGCCTTGAAATTGGTCTTGTCTATTGGGTTTCGAGGCGCTTCAACACTCTAAATATTGTGCTAGGCAATTGCATGCGATATCAGATGGATATCAGCACCATTCTTTCTCATTGCTTTTCATTCTACACGGGTCCATTTGATGTAATAACCACCACAAGTGCTTCTTTTCTATCCACCTAATCGTTTCTCACTGCCAGGTCAGCCCACCATCATCTCTCTCTGCCAATGACACATCGACACCTGGCAGCCCTGTCCTGTTGCTCGGCTCGCCGTTTGGAGTGTTGGCACCCACCTTGTTTGCAAACAGGTGATGCTTATAAAGGGTACGCAGGTGATGCTTGTAAGGGGCACACAGGTTACGGTTGTAAGGGCTGATGCTTGTAGGCATATGCAGGTGATTCTTATAAGGGATGCGCAGGTTATGTTTGTAATGTGTACACAGCGAGGAGTATTAGGGTACCACATTCCATTGCAACCAACAAATTTGAAAGTACATAACCTGTTGTGTTCTTGTTGCTTGCTTCCAGCCCACTCACTCATCCCCTTCCTCATTTTTAACAGTGCTGTCAGCTGTGCTGTCAGCAGGGCTCCTGGCCCTTGACCTGTGTCTCTCCCTCTCTCCCTACCCACTCACTCATCCCCTTCCTTCTCCCTCCTCCCCACTGCCTCTTCCGCCCGCATTGCCCGTCTATCAGCCTGTCATCGGGAGTGCTGTCAGCTGTGCTGCCAGCAGGACTCTTGGCCCTCGATTTTCCCTTCCTACCAGGTAGCGATAAGGAAAGGGAAGGGCAGGGAGCATAAGGGAGAATCAGAGAGCATAGGAAAAAACTTGATTGGATCTCGGGAGTTTAATAGAGAAATTGCCAGCTTTTTTTGTAAGCGGTGAATTCGAATTACTTTTTGCATCAACTTGAGCTTTGAAAGCATTGGGTCTGGTTCTAGTGCTGACGTCAGATTCGCTTTTGAGGATTCCCAAACGCAACTCAGTTAGATCTCAAGTGCACTACAAGGTCAAGTGCATGTTGAGCAGAGCTCCACAATACAAGCACCACATATAAATTAGTGGTGATGTGGCATCACACGGTTTCGCATGGCATGGCATGGCATGGTATGGCACGGCACGGCATGGCACGGCATGGCATGGCATGGTATGGCATGGCACGGTGTGGCACGGCACGGCATGGCATGGCATGGTATGGCACGGCATGGCATGGCATGGCATGGCATGGCATGGCATGGCATGGCATGGCATGGCATGGCATGGCATGGCATGGCGCGGCACGGCATGGCATGGCATGGCATGGCATGGCATGGTATGGCACGGCACGGCATGGCATGGCATGGCATGGTATGGCATGGCACGGTATGGCACGGCACGGCATGGCATGGCATGGCATGGCATGGCATGGCATGGCATGGTATGGCATGACAGGCATGGAGGGGGCGCCAGTGTTTGATGCCATGGGATGCATCAAGGCCATGCTCCTGCCACCTGTCACTGTCAACCACCCTCTCATGCCATCAGCCACCGTCACCATCCCGGTTAGTTGCATCACCACACACACTCCCTGCAATTGTTTCTTTCAAGCTATTGATTATCAAGCATCCTTTCCTTTGATTATTCAGTAGTATCTTTTTTTAGCCACAAGCTATGCGATCTCAAAGCAAACTTCAAGTATACACTTTTTGCAGATTATTTCCTTTCTTTTTCCGTACTCGGCCCTATTTTCTCATTCTCCCTCGCCTCGCCTCCCTCTCTTCAGGTTGCTGCTTCCATCTCATCAATTGCGTCAGCCATTGAATCAGTGTCTGACACATCATCACACACCCATGAAACCGCTGCTGCCCAACCGAAGCCACACAGGGCCCAGGTTCTTGAGAATTGTCAAAAACTCCCTGCATCAGATGATATATTCTTGAAAAAAATGAACAATTCACCGTTTTACAAGATTGATGCTGCATCATGCCAAGCAGTAGACACAGCACAAATTGCTGGCAGCACCGGTGAAATGCTCCCACTGAATACACAAGTACAGCGCTCCCTTGCAGCAGCTGCCGTACCAGACACACGGCCATCCCTTGCAGGAGAGGCAGGGGTAGGAATAGGAGCAGGAAGAGAAGGTATGGGAGCAGGAAGAGGAGGGGCAGGAGAAGGGGCAGGAGGAGGCGTGGTGAGAGCAGTGGCAGCAGCACTGCCATCCGTTCTAGGCATAGTGGTGGGGGGAACAGTGTGGGGCTCTGGAGTGATCATCTCCCGCTCTGGTCTCATTCTCACCAACGCTCACATCCTCACTCCCTTGCTCAAGCAGCAACAGCTGTCAGTTCATACGACGAGTTTCCAAGATTCGAGTTCTGAAAACCCTTCGGACACCCAGTCTTCAATCTTTTCCTCGTTCCTCTCTTCTCCTCCATCTGTCTCCTCCTCGTCGTCCTCGTCCACTTTCTCCTCCTCGTCCCCTTTCTCATCCCCTTCTCTTGACCTCCTCTCCTCTCCCCCTGCTCACGACATTTGGGTTCGAGTTCCATCCTCCTCTTCCCTTCCTTCCTCCACTCCACCCTCCTCCCTTGTCTCCTCCAACCCATGTTTCCCACCAGCAGCAGCATGGGTGCGGGCAGGTATCATCTATGTGTGCTCTGGCTCCCTGGACGTTGCCCTGCTGCACCTGCACCAGATACCACCTGCACCTGCACTTGAACCTGCACCTCTAGATAACAGACAGCACCTGCACCAGATACCACCTGCATCTCTGAACAACAGTCAGTCCCTGCACCAGATACCACCTGCACCATCAAGACGTACCTACCCCAGACAAACGCACCCGCATAAGTCCACAGCGCAGCCAGCAGATGCAGGAGAAAGGGGTCAACAACACCACAGCAGCAGCAGTCTGGCTGCTTTTGAGGCTCCTCAAAAGCAAACACACCAACATACGACCACAGCGCAGCCAGCAGATGCAGGAGAAGGGGGTAAAAAACAACGCAGCAGCAGTCTGGCTGTCCGTCCCATTCGTCCAAGTGCCTCAGAGCCTGAGTGTGGCTCCACAGCTGTCGTCATTGGTTATGCTGTCTTCCCGCCCGCTGTGGGTACGCGAAACAAAATATTTTCTAAGCACCTTCTTTCTTTTTCGTTTTATTTACACTTACCTTTCTTCCTGCCAGTTCTTCCCTCAAAAGTGCTAGCATCACCTCTTCCAAACCCATTCAACCATTCCGTTCTGTCGCTTTATATCTCCACCTCCCTCACCCCCCGTAACCCCATCTCCCGCCCGCCTGCTCTGCCTTCACTCCCCCCCTTCCAGCCACCCCCCCGTCAGTCTTCTCAGGCATCATCTCTCGAATCGTCACAGTCGACGTGGAGCACGAGCAGCAGCAAGAGAAGAAATTCAGGACCTTTCCCGTTCTGCTTTCATCCCCCCCGTGCAGTGAGGTGTATTTTGAGGCGCCTCAAAATGCAACGCAAGCCCTTACCCTCCCCTTCCCGTGCAGTGAGGTGTATTTTGAGGCGCCTCAAAATTCAGGACCTTTCCCGTTCTGCTTTCATCCTCCCCCCCCCCAACCCCCTCTTTTCCAGCCACCCCCCCATCAGTCTTCTCAGGCATCGTCTCGCGGATCATCACAGTCAACCTGGAGCAAAAGCGGCAGCAAGAGCAGAGATTTGATACCTTTCCCGTTCTGCCTTCATCCCCCTCCACCCCCCCTCCCTCCCCCTCTTCCAGCCACTCCCCCGTCAGTCTTCTCAGGCATCATCTCTCGAGTCGTCACAGTCGACCAAGAGCACGAGCAGCAGGAAGCACATAGCTCCAAGTCCTCGCCCGTTCTGCTTTCATTCCCCCCGTCCCTCCAGCCGCTCCCCCATCCGTCTTCTCAGGTATTGTCTCTCGGATTGTCACAGTCGACCTGGAGAACGAGCAGCAGCAAGAGCAGCAGCAAGAGCAGGAATTCAAGACTTCTCTGGTTCTGCCTTCATCCGCCCCCTCCCCCTCCCTCCCCCTCTTCCAGTCACTCCCCCATCAGTCTTCTCAGGTATTGTCTCTCGAATTGTCACAGTCGACCTGGAGCACGAGCAGCAGCAAGAGCAGAGATCCGAGGCCAAGAGCAGCAGCAGCACTAGCGCACCTGATTGGTTGAACGGCGGGCGGCAACAGGTAGAGACGTGTCAAAGTACAGTGGAGCGAAGAGGGGAGCAGGCGCACAGGAACAAAGGAGGGCAGAGAGGGGGGAGGGTGGCAGCGATGGTGCTGACGACTGCAGCAGTGCATGCCGGGGCGAGTGGAGGGGCTGTGGTGAACGCACAGGGGGAGATGATTGCACTCGTTACAAGGTGAGATGTTACAAGGGAGATGGTTACTTGCCAGGTGTGTTTGTTTCAAAGTAACCATGTTGCGATGTTATGGCATAAGCACATGTTATGAGGTAACATTGTCACGGTGTTACAAGGTAGGTGTACGCAGTCCAATGTTACCATCTTACTTTATCCTTCGTCCTGCCCCTGTTGGCCCTCTTCTATATTAGTGCGACCTTTGGTGCGACCTTTGAGAATTCTCAAAAGTCGTCCTGCCCCTTCCCTGTTGGCCCTCTTCCCTCTCCCAACCCCCCTCAACTACCCTTCACCTCCTGGCCCCTTTCTCCCCTACCACCAGCAATGCAAAGCACAACCACCAATTCAATTCAATGTCCTCCCTCACCTCAACTTCTCCATCCCTTTTCAACGCCGCTCTATGTCCTTCAACCCCTTACAACGCCGCTCTATGTCCTTCAACCCCTTACAACGCCGCTCTATGTCCTTCAACCCCTTACAACGCCGCTCTATGTCCTTCAACCCCTTACAACGCCGCTCTATGTCCTTCAACCCCTTACAACGCCGCTCTATGTCCTTCAACCCCTTGCTCCCCCACCAGCAATGCGAAGTACAACCGCCACGGCACCATCCTCCCTCACCTCAACTTCTCCATCCCCCTCGCCCTCCTCCTCCCCGTCTTCCACTTCGCTTCATCCCTCCACTCCTCCCTCCACTCCTCCCTCCACTCCTCCCACTCCTCCCCTCCTCCTCCATTCTCCCCTGCATGGGCATCTGTCGTCCATCCCCTTCTCTCGCGCTTCCTCCTCCCTCTCAACACCCCCTCGCCATCCATCCACGCCCTCTGGTCCCTCGCCCCCTCCTCCCATCTCACTCCTCCCGACGTCCCTCGTCCCCCGCAATCTCTCTCTCGCCTCATCACCCTTTCAGCCCAGACTGATAGGCCGAGGCTATAAGCCCCCTCTCTTAAACAAGTCCAGCCCAAGCTCAGTCCGAATTTTGAGGCGTCTCAAGAATCGTCCCCTGCAGTCCCTCTCGAGCCACATCTCCCCTTCAGCCAGAATAAGAGTGTTCCCAAAGGTGTCCTGACACCATCCGGGCTGAATGACGTGTGAAGAAGACATGCTGGACTGTGGGAAACATAAGCCCTGCGAATTTCACGACGACTGTGCAACTGCCCTTGTCCACCAATGATGTTTCGGCTGTAAAATATAACACAATAAGCCTTGAACCATTTGAATGTGCACTAGTTATGTTTTGACAAGTTGGTGTGACATTTGCATGTCTGGCACAAAAAATATAAATTTTAAACACACAGTGTTTTTCAAAATTGTGTATTGTGAAAGCGAAGCTGCTTGTATTGCGCAATTGGCATCGTCGAAGCGCGCCTAAACGCCCTTCTCCAACTACAAAAACCGTGGGTTGGAGCTCATTTCCTCCACCCACGTTTCTCTATTTTCAAACGGCTCACTCAACCTTCCCACCACCCACCCCAGCGCAAATCGTTTTGCGCATGCCACTTGGATAGGGTATATCGTAGCTAGTGATATGAGCATGCACTAGCTTGTGTTAAATTGTGATGCAAATGTTGTAAACAGCCATTTGTAATGAGAACGATGCCAATTGATAAGAAAAAGAAGGAAGCTTTCTCAATTTGTCCAAATTGAGAAGCCATACCAACATGTCCACTGCTGACATGTCGTCCAAACCAAACTCACCAGTTGTCTGGACAGCTCAGTGTACCCGTGCAAGAATTGATTTTCTGTGGCTGGTGATGTGGAGATTGTTTTTACTAGTTTGGTTAGAATGTGTGATCTCGTGCTAAGATCTGTCTATAGTGTACAGTAATCTCCGTACAAATTTGTAACGAAAGGTAATATGCTGGTAATGTGTAGTTTAGATAACAATCTCTCTCGAAAAAATAGCCTTAGCGCGTACATTACGCGGAGCTGCTGAGGTTCGGCAGGTCACCAAAGCTGGGTGATGGACATGCAAATCGCATTAACCTCGCCACGGAGTTCATTGCTACAATTTACATAAAGCAGCGATAAAATCGCAATCGTTGGCCTAAACGGAAACGCACAAGCCAGGAAATGCGTTTTAGTTCAAGCAAACGTGTAAGATAGAAATACAGAGTGAACAGCAGCCTCCAAGCAGTTGTAAGACCCGTCCACAAGTTCCCCTTCAAATATAGCAAGCAAAATTTAGGCCCAGCTATACAAAACCGGGCCAGATGCACAAGGTCTACAGCACTGCATTTTAACCCAGCAGACCAGGGAGGATCCGGGAGAAAAGATCCTCCTCATCCCCTGGAAGCAGCAACAGCGAATCACCAAGCCCCTCCTCTTCAGAATATTGCGAATAGCCGTGGCTGCTGTTGCTGCAGCTGCTGAGTCCGCTGGTGGTGCCACTGCTCCTGTCACTGTTCACCCCACACAACCACTGCAAATCGTCCTGTGCTACCATGCCTGCTGCTGCTCCTGCTGACGCCCCCCACAACCTGCCTATGCTCTCGGGCACGTAAACTTTCCTCCCAGCTTCACACCCTCCCACAGGCTCAACACGCTGCTGAGATTTCAACTCGGGCAGGCCGTGATAATTCCAACCGCTGCCCGGGATGAGGTTCGGGGCGGGACTTCCACTGCGAGCCTCGAGAGTACCGAAGCTGGCACTGTTACCGAGTGGAGCTGCAGCAGAATTGAGGCTCGGGCCGAACCCAGGAGGAGGTGCGGGACTGGCATGGGCGGCAGAAGGGAGGTTCGGCGATGAGCTAGACCAGATACCGGAGAGGAGAGATGTGTGCTGGAGGGAGGAAGAGGAGGAAGCAGTGGTGGGAGTGAGTGTGGTCATAGGGGTGTGAGAGTAGGTGCCAGGGTTGGTATTCGAGAGGGGGATGACGAGTGAGGGAGATGGGATGGTGTAATCAGGAAGAGGAGAGGGTGGCGAGGGGGAAGGGGAGGGGGAGGCCGAGCGGGACAGATGGGCAAAGACAGGGTCAGAAGGCCCAACAGGGAAGGCAGTGGTGTTGTGCGGTATGCAGTGGTTCGACTGGAAGGGGTGCGGAGGAGGAAGCGAGGAGAGAGTAGAGGAGGCGGTGGTGGTGGTTGCGGTGTTGGTGGTGGTGGAAGGGAGGGGAGAGGAGTAGAAGGGAAAGGGCTGGGTGGAGGGGAGGGAGGAGGGGAGGCCGTGGGGATGGGAGATGACGAGGTGCAGGGCATAGCTGATGTCTCCCGAGGCGAGCACCAACGCATGCTCCAACCGGTCCTGGTGTCAGCCGAGGGGTGCCACACACACACACACACACACACACACACACACACACACACACACACACACACACACACACACACACAGCGATACATGCAATGCAGCAAGAGGAATCCGGGATGAGGGATTAGGGTTCGGAAAGCACTGGGTTACATGAGAAACATCCAAGCGAGGTTGCAGCCAAGCTGAAACGGGAGTAGAATCATACATGAATTCGTCGGATCAGCATGGAGCATGCGTGCCAAGCCAACCAAGAGGGTTTCCGGGATCAGCAAGAGCATGTGTACCTGGGGCAGCGATCCAGCTGACATGATCTCAGACAGAGCTTGCAACTCCAGAGAAATATCCTGAAAACAAAAACAGTCGAGCAGGAAAATATCAGGCAGGAAAGGCAAACAGTCACGAGCGAGTGACCAGCACAAGAGCAATAAGCAGACACAATGCTGCAGCTCGTCAGCGCTAAAAATCAGCCATGGCAACAACGAAACCAGCCAATACTGATGAGGTGAAAGGGAGGGAAGGAGGATAAATGCTAAAAAAAGGTAGAGGAGGCGACGGGGGAACGGGGGGGCGGGGGCAGGCGAGAACTGATCAGAACATGGGGCAGTTAGGAGGACTCAGAAAGTGCCAAAAAGGGGGGGGGGGAGAGGGACCACGCTTACAACATATGCAAGGGCATGGACTCACGATGAAAGGAAAGGGCGTGGACTCACGACGAATGGGGAGGGCGCAGAAGCAGAGAGCGCGGAGGGGCGGCAGGAGCACTCGTGGTAGACGAGCAGGTGGTTGAGGCAGCCACCCAGGTCTCCCCCGTGCACCAGCACCGCCTGTGCTGCCTCTCCCAGGGGGAATCCGAGCCTGGAGGAGAGGGAGAGAGGCAGACATGGAGTGAGTGGAGCGGTGGGATTTGAGCCGAGTCAAAAGACGAGCAGGTGGTTGAGTTGAAGGCAGCCACCCAGGTCTCCCCCGTGCACCAGCACTGCCTGCGCTGCCTCTCCCAGGGGGAAACCGAGCCTGGAATAGAGCGGTTAGAAACAACAAGGCGAAGGAGAGAAAAACGTGTTACGTGAGCCAAGCACAAGTCACCCCCGTGCACCAGCACTGCCTGCGCTGCCTCTCCCAGGGGGAAACCGAACCTGGTGGAAGAGAGGCATACACAGAGAAAGTGGAGCGGTGGGATTTGAGCCGACTCAAAAGACGAGCAGGTGGTTGAGGCAGCCACCCAGGTCTCCCCCGTGCACCGGCACCGCCTGCGCTGCCTCTCCCAGGGGGAATCCGAGTCTGGAAAAGAGCGAGACAGGAGTTGCAGGAGGAGAGGGAGACATGTAAGGAAAGGGAGGAGAAGGCACAGTACAGGTCACCCGCCTGCGCTGCCTCTCCAAGGGGGAAACCGAGCCTGGAAGAGTGAGAGGGGCAGACACAGAGGGAGGAAAGAAGTGAAGGTGGTGGGGTGGGGGAGAGACAGCACAGGTCACCTGCATGCAACAACACTGCCTGCCCTGCTCCGCTTAGAAAATCCCAGAACCAGAATGAGTGTAATCGCATGCAGAGTAATTACTCTGTTCCATCATCCATTCAATAGGGTGCTTACTCTTGCAGCTGGCGCACGTAGACTCGCCGGCGATTCGTCTCCAGGGCAAAGCGGCACGCGTCACTCCACGGGCGCAGCCCACCAGAGGCACCTACACTCACTCCCGGCGCAGCACCAGCCATCTCTGCCGCACCAGCCATAGCTGCAGCAGTAGCTACCGTGGCACCCACAGAAGCAGCCGCGTTGTCTGCAGCAGCACCAGGGGCGGCACCAGCAGCGCCATCAACGGACATTGAGCCAATGCCCGGATTCGACGCATTGCTGTCCTTGCTAACCTCTCCTGCCACAACACCCTCTGCAACCACCTCCTTATTTCGCGGCTGCTGCTGCGACTGTTTCTGCTGTTGCTGAGACTGCTGCTGCTGCTGCTGCTGCTGCTGCTGTACCTGGGAATCTGCTTTCACTCGCAAACCATCCTGCACGCCTACATCATTACCCGACCTCCCATTCAACAGCGTTTCCGAACCCACGACGCTAGGCTCGGCAGCCGGTTCGGCTGGGCTGGAGGCAGGTTCGGTGACAGGCTCGGCAGGGAGGTGGTCGGCGCAACTGCCCATGCTGGCGGAGGGGGAGAGACTGGCCATGGCGCGGGGGGTAGAGGGGAAGGAGGAAGGGGGAGAGGAGAGGCCCGAGGTGGTCGAGAATTCGCACTCAGTTGGGGTGGAGGAGGAGGACGAGGAGGAGGACGGGGGGGTGGGATGGAGAGAGGAGTGGAGAGAGGTGGAATGAGGTGAGGAGTGGAGAGAGGTGGAGTGGAGTGAGGCGGATTCCTTCGTCCAGACGGAGAGGGAAGTGGAGGGCGGGAGGTGGGCGGAAGAGGGGGGAGGGGGGTCTGGGGAGACGGTGGCTGTGGTTTTGATGGGAGGAGGTACAGGAGAGGAGGTGGTTGCGGCATCTGTCTTCCCTTGCGATTCTGTTGTCGCCCTTCCAGCCTGCTTCCCCTGCTGCTGCTCTTGCTGCTGCTGCTGCGCGGGCTGCTGCTTCTGCTGCTGTGCCTGCTGTTGGCTCGGCGCCTTCCCAGCCTCTGGCCGAAGCAGCAGCGCAGCAGGCTTGGCTTTCCAGACAGAGTTCGCAGGCACGGCGGCGGTCACCGGAGCAGGCACCGCAGGTGCGGGAACCGATTGCTCCTTGCCTTTCTTCTTCTGCCTGGATTGACTCCCCTTATTACTACCACCACCGCTACCGTTCTCAGCTTTCCCTTCCCCTTCTTGGCTATCCGCCTTGCTCCCAGCCTTGTCTTTCCTGCCCTTCTCGTCGCCTCCTGTCCCTCCTGCTACAGGCTTGTCAGACGCCTTGCCTGCGGAACTGGCGTCTTGTTGCAATGATGAGTCCTTAGGAGACGAGACCTTCTCCGCCTTGCTCTGCCAAACGAAAAACGTATGCAAACAGATAGCGGAGGAGACTATGAGGCGTACTTCCCTTTCGACGGACACGACGACAGGCTAAGACAACCGTGCATTCACACGTGCAAAACCACCACTGTTCTTACTGTCACCACCGCTACTACCGGTAACACTGCCATCGCTACCGCCGCTGCCACCACTGTCGCCACTACTATGCATTCTGTCGCCACAGCTGTCGCCACTACTATCGCCATTCCTGTCTCGACTGCTGTCGCCTCTCCTCTCGTCGTCAGTCTCGCCTCTCCTTTTCTGTCGCCACTTATGTCGCTAACACTGTCGTCACTACTGTCGCCACTAATGTCACCATAACTGCAGTCGCTATTACCACTAGTGCCACACACCACCAAACGGCAAGAGCAGCAAGGCTCGACATAACTCACCTCCGCGTTCTTCCCTTTGGACGGTCCAGAAACGATGACAGGCGACGACGACCACGCATTCACAGGCCCGCTCCCACCACTCCCACCACCCCTACTGCCCCGACACTTTCGCTGGTCCCCACACCACCAAACGGCAAAAGAGGCAAGAGCAGCAAGACTCTCATAACTCACCTCCGCGTTCTTCCCTTTGGACGGTCCAGAAACGATGACAGGCGACGACGACCACGCATTCACAGGCCCGTTTCCACCACTCCCACCGCCACCGCTAATGCTGCTGCTGCTCACAGCACCAACGGCTGCTGCTGCCGCATCTTTCAACCCCGCAGCAGCAGCACTCCAGGACTTAGACAGAACCTTCACCGGCACTCCCCCACTCCCACTACCCCCACCATCCCCACCAGACGCGCCTATACCCCCGCTTGTCGACGACGGGGACGTCGGGCCGGCCCCACTAGACGAGGACTTAGCCACAGACGCGGCAGCCTTGGCAGCGGGGGGCAGAGAGGAGCGCACGAGAAGCGCGACGGTGGGCTTTGGCGCGGGGGCAGCGGGCTGGGAGGTGGAAGTTTTGGAGGATGAGGAGGGCACGGAGAATGATCCTTTCGACTTGCTGCCGTCGCCTGTTTTCCCCTCCTTTTTACTATCGCCTGACTTGCCGTCCTTTTTGCTATCGCCGGTTTTTCCTTCTTTTTTGCCGTCGCTGGCTTTACTGTCGGCCTTCTTGTCGTCCTTGCCTTTGCCGCCCTTCTTCGCCGCAGCTCCCACAGGGGCTGGAGGAGGCTCGGGCATCTTGGCCTTTCGCCGCTTCTTGCTGCAACGGAGAGAGGGGAGAACGGGGGGAGCGCGGGAGGAAGAAGTGAAAGATGAGGTGACGAAACAAAGAACTGTATATCTTAGTATGCCGGTGTTTCTTAGAATGCCTAATTAAAGGGCCGGCTGAAGCAGAGGAGGGATGAGTCGAGGCCTAATTAAAGGGCCGGCTGAAGCGGAGGAGGGATGAGTCGAGGAGATGAGCCACGAACACGATATGATAAGGAAAGCAGGGAGGCAAACGGGAAAGCTACGCACAACTTTTCTCGCACAAAGTTTCTAGTGGACAGGAACACAGCGCAGGCAGAAACGGCGGAAAATGAACGCATCCGCACGCATTTGCTTGCAGAATAACTTCGTTGCGGCGTTTGAAACGCGCGGATACGGGGGAGAAAGGAAGGAAAGGGTGTGCAAGGAGATGTTGCACCTGTTTTCGTTCCGAGCATGAATCGGGTGGGACTTGGTGATCTGGAAACACAGGAATGCCACGATGAGAGGGAAACGCAAGGAGGAGAGCCGGGGGGACGAGCAAAAGGATGAAAGACACGAGACACAAGGCAGGACGAAGGCATTAGCCGCACGAGGCAAGAGACGCATGAGGTATCAGATGAAAGAGATGGAGGAGTGGAACAACGGAACACGCATGGAGGGAAGGGTATTGGTAATAGCAAATGTAGGAGAGCACGCAGATGAGTGCATGAGCCATGAAAAAAACAAAAAATCAACACTCGGTCCAAGAAGAAGGTGAAGATAAACAAAGACCAAGATCGCCTGATGCTAATTCGTGAAACTAGTTTAGTGAAAAAAAAGGCTAAGAAAAAACAAGAACTTTACAGGGTGCGATCCACGGCAAGAAAGAAATATGCAAGGAGAAACCTACACGTCCAGGACACGGCTTGTCGAACTTCGTCGCTTTGCCATTGCCACGTGGACATTGGAAGCCCGTCTTTCGTTGCCTGCGTTACAATGAGCAAAGGCGAAAGGACACGTAAGAATTGTCATGGTGAGGTTATCACGGGGTGATTAAAGGATTGGTGGAAACAAAAACAAAGTAGAGGAATACGCGGAGTTATGAAAAGGATGGATGAACTACGGAGGCTACTAGACGCTTCAGATAGATGGTGTTAAGTTTAAAGTAGCGATTCTTCATATTTCGAGGTTTTTTCCAAGACAATTGCTGCGTCGCCAAGAATTGGCCTTCAGATACCAGATAACTGGCTGCTATATACTATTATACGTTGGAATCGCCTAATGCTTGCTGCACAGCTTGTAACAACCCTTAGTGAGCCGAGATGGAAAACTTGAAACTAAATCAAAGAGGATCAACAGGAGGATTCTAAACCACGCCAGCACGATGCGCTCAAATACTTCCCGTTGAGCGCCAAAGAACTTGACGGAGAGAGACGGAACGCTATCCTTACAACCTTGGAGGACGTTCAAAAGAAGGCGAAACTGGAAAAAGTATTGACCCCGGAGGAACCGTGGTTTCTATTCGGAAGTTTCTACCCTATAACTACCGTGATTTTTCACAGCTACTGCAAAAATTCATCCCATCTATCGATCTACCATTTCCTGACCAGAACCGGCTGCAGCGAGGAGGTAACTAAAGGCGTGAGTTTTAAGAACCATACTTGTCCAGCCGGATGCTCTTTAAAAACGCCTCGATGCAGTGTTGATGGTACACGCCTGAGCTCGCGCATCCTTCGAACGTGCACGAGAGCGCGTTAAGCTCGTCCTGCGTACTATCGCACGGCTCCCCGCAATAGTCACAAACTCCCTCGATATCATGCAGAGAATGACCCGCGGTTGGCACGGCTGGCGCGACTGGCGGCGGCATTTTCGCGATAGAACTTGCAGGAAAAGCTGCAGCAAGAAGCGAGATACAAAAGTGCTGTTGTTAGCGAAGAGTTAGTGAGGCAACATGGTGTGGTTGTTCTAATCTTTACGACGGAGAAAAACACGCAAGCTATAAGGTCGCCTGGAAGGATATCCTACGATAATCAGGATTCGGTTTCAGGGACACGCCTCGAATTAATCAACCAGTTCTACGAGCAATGTCGCGTGCCCAGAGCTAGCACGCAGCATCAATAATCCTCAAACGAACGTGTTCTTACTGTGCAGAAACAAAAAGGTTGAGGTTGCAATGCCGCGAATTACGGAACGTAAGGTTTCCGAGGTTCTCTTGGCTTGTTGCAATGGCAACAAGGGAGCCACGCAGCAGCCAAAGAAAACCTAGATTCTTCCCACACGCTCTTCCCTGCTTTGGCTTGCTTGGCCCAGCACTGCACTGCGGACTTTCGGCTCTCCGTCAAGTTCTCCTCACATGGCTCGCTCGTCTTGCTTTCTTGTTCGCTCTCCGTCAAGCTCTGTCATGTATCCCCGCCCTGCTGGCGCTAGGCAGTGCCCCAGGCGTTCCGCCGTGCTGAGAGTGAGGACTACTCGGCGGAGGACTACTCGGCGGAACCACGCGCGAAGTGCGGAAACGGCCTGGGGAGCCGTTTTGCGCAGGTCTTGGGGAGCATGTGGGCGACGCTGATGGTGACCTGACCTTGCTTGGAGGAGGATGGAAGGGAAATCAACAGAAGCCAGGCACACGGTCACTTGTACATTTCGGATAACGTTTTTTCACTGACCGTGACGTTTGCGACGGCCAAATTGACGGGTCTTTCTTGTTCGATGTCAGCTTCGTGCTGATCACGCGTCCTCCGTAAACACCTTTCTAGTTTACGGGCAGACCATGACCGACGGGCACTGAAGGATGGGTCATGTGTGGGTAACCGAGCATTGATGGGGATTTGGCGGAAGCAAGCAGCCAATCACAGGCGCGGTGGAACCACAACGCATCCGCTTGGCCCACGGGTCAATCCTCCTGAACCAGGCAAACATCAACCGGAGAGGCGGAACGTTAAAGCCAGGATCTCAAGTAAGAGAATTGGCCTTCAATTGCAAAACACTTGCAGCGCTTGTTACCCTATTTTTGTAGGCGAATTGACTGGCTGGTTAGGAAAGTGAGCGTGCGGCACACCCACGATTTTGCCCCTAGAGCAAATGCAAAACATTTTGCTGGTACATGAGATTGTTGTGTGTGGCGAGAAATTGCAGGCATTGGAGCTTCGTCACCGAACCAGTTTCCGAGCCTTGCTTGGTTCGAACTGAACTTGCGATTTGTCTTTACTTCGCACCCCTCGCTTCACACCTCGTCAGATTGTTCACCTCGCTAACCAATCGCAGCCCAGCTCCCCTCACCAACTGCAAAACAATTGAACTACTTGAGATCCTGGCTTTAAGGGTTTTGCTCGTGATGCAGCTGTCTAATGTCTGGTTACCGTGTCAGACATAGGCTTCGCATGTGCGAACTTTTGCAAAACAAGTTTGCCGCCACCTCCTTCGATGTCACGGAGAAAAACAAGCTGGAGAAAAAAGTTTCCCCAATAAAGAGCAGAAGACAAATCTGCCACGACATGAAGTGTATACAAGTTGCTATACAGAAACACGTTTACATATCACTTTAACTGAACATGCAACCTATTTGATGCCACAAAAATAAAAGAAAACAGAGACGATATTCTGTGTGTCATACGAATTGAATCTCACACATAAATTTTGACGAGATTTCTCTATTTTTATATATAATGTGGACAATCGAAGGCACATAAAAATGAAACGGTAACAATTGAAATATTGGATGAGAAATGTGGCACTGAAATGGAGGGTGCTGCTGTCCAGGCCCTCAGATTCACTTTTAGGAACCCTGATGCATCAGGGTCCCTGTGAAAAAAAAAAAAAAAAAAGGCTGATTGTTGTTGGAAACAAATAACTTAAAAGATTTTTGACGTCCACTCGAAGGAAACAGTAGCAGCACGTGATGTCATTTTCTACGAGTGACTCACACTTCAATCGTATCTGGACAACATGGCAGCAAATCGAGACCTCACGGGCGGCTTCCATGGCAACCGAGCTTTCGCTTCAACAGCAGACGAAGCTGACTTGGACGAGCAGAACGTGGACGGAGCTTCAGAGGAAGCCGAACCTCTTCGGTATTGCTGAGTAGACATCCCCATGGACGACGACAACCCTCGCGAAAGTGTCAACGCCGAAACCTACTTCGACTTCGCCGACAACTGTTACGTTACACCTCAACTAGTTGACACCAATGTCTCCGAACGCATAGGACCCAATTTCTTACCAGGTCCAGAAGCGGGAGATGAAGCAGCTTATCCCGAGGCCGCAAATCTCCCCCGCTACACACAGAGTGGACTGCAGATACTAGGACTCGTCACCGCCGTCCATGGAGCAGCGCCACCTAAGGAGCCTGCCACCATTCAGCAGGCTCTGGGGGGGGAGCACAAGGAAAAATGGCGCGAAGCCATGAACAAAGAACTAAAGGCGCTGCAAGAACGCAACACCTGGAAAGTCGTGCCTATCGGAGTGGCACGCAACAAAACCATCCTCACGGGAAAATGGGTTTTCCGCGAGAAAACAAAAGTCGACGAAACGATAGACAAGTTCAAGACACGCTGGGTCGTGTGCGGCTTCGACCAACAGCATGAACGAGACTTCACGGAAACATTCGCACCAGTTAGCCGACATACCTCACTGCGGATTCTCCTCGCGATAGCCGCCATGAACCAGAAGAAACTTCGACAAATCGATGTTGCCAACGCATTCCTCTATGCCCCGGTCGATGCTGAGATCTTCGTCGAACATCCACATGGGTCCAATGCAGACCCCAACCAAGTCTGTCAGCTGCAAAAGTCGCTGTACGGAATCAAACAAGCCCCGAGACTGTGGCAGCAGCATCTTCACGCTCGTCTAATCCGCATCGGATTCTGCCAACTACCACACGACCAAGGGATGTACCGGCTTACTAAGGGGACCAACTACATCCTGCTCATCGTCTACGTAGACGACCTTCTCTACATAGGCTCTACCGACGACATAAGGACCTGGTTTAAGGGGAGCTGCAGCGGGATCTGACA